GTTTGTTTCGCACTTTTTCATGTTTCTCCAAAACGGCTTCCGAGAGACAAATGATATGTTGTCCTTTGTAGTGTTTAAATAGCTGCAACGTTGTGCACCTGCAAGCAATTCATTTAGCGTTACATCCCAAAGAACAGGTTCTTTCACACACGTATTCATAATATCCGCATGGGTGATAGACGTCTTCTGCGCAATATCGTCAATGCTCAGCTCATCTGTCGTATTGATGAGCAATTCCACGATGACCTCCGCCCAATAGGCACGGTAACCGAGTAGGCCCAGATCGCTCAGGGGCTTTTCAGGGCTGCCAAGTTTCCCCTCCTTCTTACTCAACTCGTAAGAAAATTCGATGAGCAGCTTGCCAAAGCCGTGGCGTTGATGCTGCGGTAGCGTCAAGATACATGCGACGTTGTAATTCTCCGCCGACTCTTTCTCTTTCGAGAAGTAACCGATAATATGGCACCCTGTAGAATCTCGTAGACACTGCGATGATAGTCGGTATAACATAAATACAGAATGCCATTGTACACACCATGACATAATACATGAACGGTGTCACGTCATAGTACAACGTCTTGCTATAAGCGCACATTCAGATAATTGAGCTTCGTCGTTACCGAGAAGGACTTACTGATCTAGAAAACATTTGGACAATAAACTGAGGTTCCGACACCAGCTTAATTGCCGCTTCCCATCAAGTTCGAAGACCGAAATGTCTTGGTGGCGGTAGATCTCGTTGCCAGGTGGATGAAATAGCGTACAACGTTGTCGGTGGCGCGAGAGCATCATGGGCGACGGAAAATATGCGAGACAGAACTCGCAGATGTATAGCACGGGTAAATGGGCATATTCCTTTGGATATGGACTGAAGTACCACGCTTCGACCTCGTGTTTGCCAATCTGTAAACGGTTTAAATTCTTCACCCGCGCAATTTCTGATATTGACTGGGTCATCGAGCCGGATGTCCGTAGTTTCTCGATTTCTTGTTCTTTGCTGAATGAAGAGACGGGAGGGGGCGTCTCTACTTGTGCACCATTGACGTTAAGTTCGAAGGTATCCCCTTCGCCGTCGACATCCATCTCGCCTTCCGCGTCTACATCATCCCCTTCAATTTCTTCTTCCTCTTCCTCCTCTTCATCATCAGTTAACTTCCGCTTCAATGATGGGGCAGGTGATGGCGAGGGGAAAGCAGAGCGGCCAGGGGTTGAGGCAGATGTGGGCGAAGCAGCCGCAGCCGCATTTGATGTCGCTTTCTTCAATAATGACTGGGAGCGAGGCGCCTTCCCCGGTGCTTTCTGCAGCGAGCCAGGCCCAGCTTTCTTGCCCGGTAGCACCTTTGGACGGGGCCACTCGAGGTCCCTGCTCAAGATAAGCCGAGATCCCGTCACCCACTCATCCAAACGCTTGTTAAACTGATCCCAGTGGACAAAGTACTCCCATTTGTCTTCTGGTTTGTCGGGTGCATCTTCCTCTTCTTCTTTTACACCACCTCGGGCATTTGTGCGTTGTGCTGACGTATATGAGTTCACGGGTTTATCACGAATTGATAGTATTTCTGCAAGCCGCTCTTCCTCCCCGTCTGGGGTTGGACGGCGGATGTAGATTTTGCACCCAACAGAGACGGTCTGAGGAAAGAATTTGATGAGTCAGCACTATGGAGGCCTGTGTGAATTGAAACTGCGGAAATTTACTTGGATAGTGTACGTTCCTCCAGGTGTGATAGATGCTGACTCCTGCGAGCCTTCATTGTTAGCATGTGCAGAGACCATTCTCGAGCAAAAACGGCGGCGAAAGCTGAGTGCTGAGGGAGAAGAGCAGATTTTGCGTCGTTTGTGTCGACTTACCGAGTCATGAGGGGGAAGTTGAATTTCGCTTACTCAGCCTACAGCACAGCAACCTTTGCTTCCTATTTCACCACACAGGCCGAATGTCACGGTTTAATTGTGAACAAAGACAACGCTAGACAACAGCGCTTAAGTCTATAGGCTACGGTTCCTATGGGCCAATCTGAGACTGCCTCCGGGTTGATACCATACTAGCAGGAGGCCTCATCATTTTTAGGAGCTGTAGTCTATAATTTGCAGCCTGTTTCGCTTTTTAGACATCGACTGCCAGGGGGCACTCTCCAAGTTAGTTCAAAGCGTACAGATTGAGTTACACCTGTAGATTCGGATCATTAATGCTAAAAGCACAACAAAAGCCGTGCAACCGGCGCTGCACGATTCTTCGTCGAACGCATAATTCCGTCGAGTGCGTGCGGCGTCAGATGGTCTATTAAGATCTGATTCTCTGTGAGATCGCCGTCCCTACCTAGACCCGCCTGGTGATGATGAAGTCTGAGCTCATTTTCGGGAGTTCAAAAGGTGTGGTGGCCGCAACGATTCGGAAATTCGCATCCTCGGAAAGACATATAACCCATGGCCGCGGTGGAAAGTCTGAGTACTGTTTGTGATAATTAGCGGCAGGGTAAGCATTCTCCTCGCACCCGACGAATTCTGATGTGAATGACGATAATGAAGCTTACCAATTTCTATCGAGCACATCTCGCAGAAGTCCCGGAAGTGAGCCGTATGAACTTACCACAAGCGATATATCATCTTAACTGACGGCAGACCATGAGGGCATGGAGTAGAGAGAATTTCCGAGCCATCGCTCTTGCAATGTTGCAACTACCGATCAATGCGCAATGGCTGGGCTCTAATAGCGCCAGCCGGATGGACCTAGTGATTGAGACGGTTGAGGTGGGATTACATACCTCGTGATGGGACAGCATTGGCCTTTGTTAGGTCTGTGGACATAAGGCTACCGCAGGCAATCGAATAGCCCCACTCGAACCAATTTAATTCTGTCATTCTATTTTATTGCTCATGAGCTGCAAGAACAAGCAGAAGGGCCTGACCAGAAATACGTGATATGCAGGTTACACCCGAGTTATACCCCTTGGATGTCGGCCTCACTCTTCCTCGCGGAGTTTTGAAAATGGCAGTGCATAACAGAGTGTATTCGCAACCGCAATTATGATATCGATGTGTTTTTTTGCAGAAGAATGGACAAGATAGAATGGGGTTGGGAGGGTACAAGTCTTCGATACGATGACGACAAAGGGGAGCGCTTATGAGTCACAACGAAGGGTCATGGAGGGATCATAGTAGTAGACGCCACGATGCTAACGCCACCAACGTGGCGAGGGGTGCGAAGGAGTGTGGCCCTGACGCCTCTAACTCGGAAACCTGACTCGGAGGACAGGGTCGGAGGCATCCCCGCTTGGTCAGTACCAGTTGGTGTAACCTTAAACATGGTGGCTTGACTCGGTTTGTCCTGGGAACATAGTGCGCTGTCAATCGCATTCAATTACATGAGCTGTGATTAAACTGTCTAAGAAATCTTTAGATCTGGATTTTGCAAAATAGAAAATTTCAAATACAGGCCTTTTGTGCTATCAGTATATGATCCTGCATATCTAGATATTGCCCTGCTAGCAAGAACAAGGAAATTTGTGCGCCGTTAGAGGTAAATAATGTCACTCAGATCGTTACTAGGGCCTGCGGCTTGTCTCTCCCGATGAATCAGGGTCAAAGTTTTTTTTCCTCCCTTGATGTCCCGTCTGAGCCAGTCCAAACGGTAATGTAAGAACAATGATATTCCATTGGCAGGAGACAAGTCCGACAGAACGATGGACTTTGTGGGGAACGGGAAAGCGAAGTATAGCGGTACATGATGTACATCTTCATGCCGTATGTACACTTCCTGAAGCGTACCTGGTGCAGCCTCTTAGTTGATCACATACACGAGTGGTGACATCTTTTAAAGGACGCACGGAGTAGTCAGGTGTTCAGACAGAAACCACGTGACATGCGACTAAATTTTTGGACTGGGTTCAGGCCATCACAACGAGGTGGCGTATTGGCTGCGTTGCGAGGACGCTGGCTAGAGCCGTCGGGCCGGGGAAAAAGAAGCACAAAATTGGCTTCAGCCTTCTTACATCTGTGTATTTTGTGAGAATCTCTTTCTTCGACATTAGGGGAGTGAAGACTGCGTGTGTGATAAAACAAATACAGCTTACCCTATATGTAAAGTTTGAAGATGTGTTGTACGCCGCCTACAGGGCTTGCAGCGCCATGTCCCCGAAGAGAATGAAACAAAGCATTTGGGTAGCAACGCTGCGAGACCAGATTTCCGAAGGAGCCAGGAAGAGGTTGGGTAATAAAGAGAGGGTGAAGTTGATCGCTGTAAGCTTGTTGGAGAGAGCTGGGCTGGATGGGTGTGTACGCACGTGATCTCCATACTATCCGGCCCCTCCCGGAAATGAATCATTCCCAAGTGGGCTCTCCGATGATATTTGTGTGCCATTTAATTGCTGCTCGTGTATCTTGTCCTTGACCCAATCCAAGATGATTCGATGGACAGTAATTGATAACAATGACCGTAAATTTAACTGCGACTGGGGGTTAGGAAAATTACTCACGCATAATTTCACTGAAATTGTCAAAGATGATCTTCATTTTGGGAAGGAGGCTTTCCCTGATGCAGAGATCTAACCGAAAATTACGAACACATAGCGCGAGCCTGACTCCTGCTGGACAATGGTCGAGTCAACAAGCAAGACCCGTCATGGCAGTCACTACTCACCAGTGTGCATCAGGCCAGTTCATTGAAGCTCCGCACATACTCGGAGCCGTAAATGCATTCCGATACCTGAATCGATTTGCAGCTCAATGGGGGCCTGCAACACATATGGTCAGATCGATTAGTATCGAGTGGGCAAAACGCCTTCGGCAATCAAGAATGTTCGGAATTGATATCAGGTCGAGAAATAGCAGGGATATGATGAACTTGAAATAGCACTACTTGGACCTCCGACTGCAATCAACAGGAACAGAGCGGAATGTCTTCATACAAGGCTGTCTAAGGTATAAGGCTCATAGATGTGGCAACTTGAAGGTGAGCAGTAGATGACAAAGCCCCGGGTTACATAAAAAGTTCCTATCACAATGTAGTTGTCAGCAATTCCAGCGTCGTTTTCATCCCACCCACCATCTCCTCTCAACGACGTTGACAATGGGGCCAGAGTGCAACGAGCTAAAACAAACCCCAGTGGTATCAAGGAACACAAATTCGATTTCGGAGACAGTCATAAACGGCACAGGCGCGGGTACGTACAAACTAGGTGGAATAAACTACTGCCCACTGCAAGCACACGTGTAGAAGGAAGATTGGTGAAGCAAAGTAAAAATTGGACGTCTACGGTACACTGCGCCTCCGCAACCTATTGCTGTCTTATCATTGAAGTCATTTTACAGAACAAAACAAGTCGAACAGTTCGGCTGCCTCACTCTTTGGAGGCAGTGTCATCCTTCTTCTCCGCCTCAGCCGTTGCTGGCTGAGGCTGTGCTTGCGTTGCTGGCTGCTGCTGTGACTGGGAGGGCATGAGATGTGAGAGTAAACCCTGTGGAATTTGGGAGTACACCTCGTCGAGCTGTTGACGGAGGTGCGTGTTTTCCTCGCGGAGATGTGTGATGTCGTCACGGAGCCTGTCATTAAGCGCTCGACACTCTTCCCACCGACGATTCGCCTCATCTGCGGACGCAAGTGCTGCATCCAATAGTTGAGAGCGCGACTCGAGGGCTTTAACGTGCCTATAATGAAGGTGAGTCAAATCTGCACAATGCGTTTAAGAGATGAAAGCAAGAAGAAGTGAACCCGTGCCCTTTTTGAGTGCAGAAAGGAACAAAGGCAATAATGAGAAACATGCACTTACTGATCTCTACGTTCCCTGAACGCTCTCTGCGCCTTCCTATTTTGCTCGGCCCTCTTGGTCTGGCTCAATGGACGACCATTTGCCTTTGAGTCATCAGCACCACCAGGCTGACCCTCGATCTGCGGGGAAGGTTGGTCACCCGGAGGCGGGTGGGGTGGAGGTCCACCGAACTCAGGCCCCGGAGGGCCGGAGAAATAAATGGGCATGGATGATGGGTGGTGTCCATGTGGGGGTGGCAACATTGGAGGAAGGAATATGCCAGGTGGAGGCTGCTGGAGCTGCTGTGGTGGTGGTGGTGGTGCCGGCGGCTGGGCTGTTGTTGTTGGGGGAGATTTACGTTTGCGAGAACGGGTTGCTGGAGCTGGGGCGGCTGGCTGTGCAGGTGCTTGAGATGTGGAAGGTTGAGGCGGCAGTGGGTCGTCGCGGAGACGCATTGCAGGAATAGTCTGTGGGGTTTGTTGCTGTTGTTGAGGTTGAGGTTGTTGCTGCTGCTGCTGCTGCAGAGCCTCAGACTGCTGACCTTGCTGCTGGCCCGAAGGAGGGTAACCGTGTAGCATTAGCAATGATCGCTAGTGTATTATATCTGTCTTGATAAAGGGCGCAGTGACTTGATATGTTTTTTAGATGCTAGGGGGATGTTTTCGCTGATCGAGTTTCAACGACGGTCGCGTTGAGGAGGCGCGAGTATTAGTAAGAAAATCAGGTCGATGGTGAGAGTTTGCTTTTGTTTGGGTGGTTTCCCACCTATAACGTCTCGATTAGGAAATTATATGTTCGCCCGAGTTTTCTTGACCATCGCCTGCGGTAGTATTACTTGCGCTCGCATTCCGCGTGTATGAGCTCGACGTCGCAACCATCCATATTTGATAGTTCGAGGTGCACTCGTCGATCATAGAGAAGTTTTGGCAACGAAGATCCCTAGATTTAACGAAAAATGTACGAAGCAATGATAATCAGTTTATCGTGACAGGTCACGGAAGAGGCCGATTCCATGGAGAGTCGAAGGCAATGCAGTCCTTCTGTTCTAGTTCTAGCGCTCCGATCGCCGAGCATGCGCAATCTGTCGGCAGGATGTGTGTTCTCATGACAGTGAGATGAGGGGTTGGGTGAGATGGTTAGTCAAGTTCGACGCAGCTTTCAATTTTATGTAAGGTGTCTTTGTCATGTGCTGACCATTATCCTTGGATAAGCAGGTCAAACCATGTTCAACTATACTGCCGCGCTGCTAGCACACCCTCTTTGTGTAATGGTTTGCCTGTTTTCTGTGTCTGATGAAATTTTTACCCAGTTGGATGGCGGACAGCAGAGGCAGGCCCCTCGGGGTCTGGTGCCTCGTGAGGTCTTGGATCTTAGCGCTGAGCCAGCCTGTTCATAGACGGGCTGGTCATCAGTCTGAAGAACAGTGCTTTTGTGCTTGTAAGGCCAGGTGTGTAGCTGCGCAGATCAGTTAATTTCAATTAACGCAGGGCGGCATCGACCGGGGTATATTCTCAGTATGACTGTTCTTGATAGCTTCTTTCACTGAGTTGTATTTCCAGATCCGCGAATAACACAGGCATATTCTAGGCATGCTTTACCAACGTGGAAGCCTACTCCCGGAACGAGAAAGATGTTGTTCACCTTCTTCGACGCGATGATTCTTGACAATCTGTCAAGAGGCACTGAAAATAGAACCCGCAATTTGATCATGACACACTCATCGTGCATATGCATCATGTACTGTTTTATCTGCAATGAAACTGTCGACTCGTATATCTTTCACTTTCGTCGCGATTCGTCCTATGCAATATTAGTCCAGGATTGCATCTACCATGGCGGTCGTTGTATGACGAGCAGCACATTGGTATTCAGAGGAATCCTTGTGGCACGACTTTCAGATCAGCAGGGCCAGCTCTTTCTGGAACTCCCCATTCCTGATTCTCCCCGCCGATGTGTTGGTACGTATTTTCCCATTCATCGACGCCTCTGAACTCACTCATAGCAAAAACTTTCAGTGCCGGACGCCACGCAAGATCTATCGTCCTCGCTGATCATTATGTCAGCCGAACTTTCAGTTGCGATGCGTTGCAAGCTCACAGACCTACTTAGCAACCTGAACAAAACCGTTCTGCGTGGATTAGTATCGGACCTGTCTGAAAGGTTAATCAAGTTTTGTCGACTGAGCCACTCGATCGACGATGGCTTCAAAAATCATAGCGTCATCTAGAGTCATACGATCGAATGCAGAGCTGAACGATCCCAATTTGATTCTTCACCTTGTCACGTCCTCAATCAATCGTGAGTTTGCGTTTGCCTGACAGTAATTTATCATTGTTGACCCTACTCTTATGTCACGTTACCCTGAATTACGTGTATAAAATCGCCTTCAGGTTTCTGTCCAGCAGCTGTTTCTAGGGATGTACGACAGGCAATTTATGATCGCGCCACGCAGCTATTGAAGACTCAGGCATCGTTTGGAGATTATGTCTTGTCCCTACCAAGATTCTTGTCTGGGACAGGCACGTTGAAATATTTTTTCAAGCAACATGAATACTTCACTTGTCCGCATGTCTGATCAGCTGTGATCATACCTAAAGTTTGCCGCGGTTTTGGTCATGGACAGCAAGGGTTCTGATCATTAGTATCCACAGGGACCTTTTCTATTGCCGTACGCTGACCCGTTTGTGCTGTCCAGTTTATCCATCACAAACCCTCCAAGGACATGTCCCTACTACCTATTGCAGAGATCCCAAGCAGCTCAATTGGAACTCGCCCCGTCCCGGAATGTACCTTCATGACTCTGATCAGCATAATCCAATCGAGACTAGGTGTTCCATGTGCACGACATCAAGCTGTTATAGATGTTCAGTATCACTTACGTTGCTCTGGTCTAGCATAGCTACTCAAAAGACGAGTGTTCCTTGGATACGCCAAGCCTTTGATGCTTGGCTGTACCTGCCCCACGCACGTCTTGTTAGGCACAAATGGGACGTCTGGGGGCTCTGTGCTGCGCAATTACTCGTCAAACTACTGGTACACCAGTGGGGTAAAGCGGCTGCACCACTTGCGCATCAGGACCTGGAGGCTTCGACCCACCCTTACGCCGCCCTATCTTCAGCACTACAGCCCCCTGATTTCGGACTAGGTGAATGATACCCGCCGGAGAGCTGTTCTTTATACACCCCTGTCTTACCTTCCATGGATCGGACATGCGGGCGCATTTTGTGCGAACTATGTCTCATAGGTCGCTGCGTTTGTCCTGATGGTTCGTTGATGGCGTTTGGAAGGCTTAACGCGCGATAGGACTCAAGTAGAGCCTTACGCGATTCACGTCGAGGAACATATGTTAGAAGAGAATTGATCTAGTGTTGTCCCGTCATCGACGAATCTCTCGCTTTCCATCATGGCTGTATCTACATTGGACCTTGGACGGGCTCAGACACCGGGGTCCCCGACGGAAGCTACCCTCAAGCGGGGTCTGCCAAAGCACCAGGACCTCCGGCAGTGCTATGCATTTTACCTTTTCTCGCACGCCATCTTTCAGGGTGACCTATTCACTTGCTAATAGCAGTGGTGACATTTCCATAATTTTGCGGTTGCTAACTAAATCCCAGCGCATTTCTATTTGCTTGGACTTACGAATCGGATATACAGGCGATACACTTATTACAATCCACTTCGAGTATCTCACTACGGACTTGGCTGCCGATAATCGAGTTAGGTTTTCACGCCGCGCCTGCTCTACGTAGGTGGCGCCTCCCCTAATTACTATTACCATCCAATTAGCTTTCGTAGTATTTTGGGATCCCAGTGGCAATTTAGAACTTTAGCACCTCTCAACCCAACTCGATAGAGAATGCTTCTTGTCATGGGCACGGATGAGTACGTCCAGTTTCATTTGCTCTCGAGTACTAATGGAATGGTCGCCTTCTGCACAACCCGCAGCATCCAAAATAATATCTTTGAGAGCACTGGAATCTCTGGGCCCATCAGACTGGCCTGCATGAGAACGGGAGAATTCAGGATCTCCTGAGGCTGTCAAGCCTAGCAGCTTATGGTATCGCTCTCCTTGAGGCATAATGTCGAGCTGTATGTGAAGCGCGAGATAAGGGGCTTATATTATCCCATTCCTGCTGTTAGCTGAGTGATTTATGTCAAAGATATGATCACAGCAAAGTGATGTCCGCAAGTACAAGAGCTGAGAGTCACACCCCAAAGAAAGTGAATTGATGGGGAAATCGCTCGCCAGCGAGTGCTTTTCAACCTGATATTCATCTGAGGACTCATCCCACTGACAGATTCCGGGAGCGCATCATACGTGATGCTAGTGCGCAGAAGCAGGAGCAGGACATTGCGGTAATGGTGAGGTTTCTGGAGGGTGTGATGCAGCAGGCTATTGACCGAAGGGAGAATTGTATCTGTGATAATCGACGTGCGCCGCGAGACGATCACAGTGACGCCTTTGTTGACGCCTTTGGAGCTGCGCTTGGATATTCTAGATACGACAAAACGACGACGCGCATCGTAGCATATATCACTAGGCCCGAATTTCGGTTGGATTGAACAGATACTATCTGCTGTGAGGTCCAGTCGATGCAGCAGCAGGCCGGTACTAGTCGGGTGTCTACTAGCTCTGGCTCCCAAACGCGTCAACTGCGACAGCAAAGTCCCTGTCCGATGACCAGAACTTACATAGGAAGCAATCATCATCAGAAGTTGTTGCTGCTTACACACGGGAATCGTACAGACCTTGACAATTTCCGCCCTTTGGATACAACAAGGCAAGACCACATGCTGTTCAGACACCAGTGCATTGACCGAGTGCACCCCAAGTATGTCCTTTCCATTAGGTGATGTTACTTCCTGTCTCGACACCTCACCCCCTCTGCCCCATCATAGTGTTCACTCTTGTCTCATCCTCTTCATCTCGCCTGATCTGTATGTCGCTTTATAGGTCCTAGCGGGTGCGCAACACCTCGTATCCATTGTATATGGCCTCGCATCGTCTGGTGAGCTTCTATTCCCCGGTCAGGGTCTCACCTCAGGAATATTATGGGCCAGACACGTTGACTGACAAAATCACTGCCAGTAGTGAGTCCACCAGCTGATCTCGACACGCTCAATAGATTCTAACTCACAGGATGGCTTCACCACTTTGTATGCAGGGATAGATTCGAGAGAAGCATATTTCAGGTGCCACGCAGCTTTCCCATAACCAATGAGAGACACCGACTGTGAGTGGAGCTAGTCGATGTTAATATCAGCACAGAACGAGTCCTATAGCTATTGTATGCACTTGGTCGCGCAAGTAAGGTACGTTTCCGTTTCACAGCCTAAGCCTAAGCGCCGTGTAGCTAGTGCCAGCTACGTGCGCTCTGAGTTTACTATTCTTTGCACCGATGTCTTCAATGGTCATTGACTTGCTTATTTTACAAGGGAACTCACTCTATGTTTGGAATTCACCACCCTTTTGGCAACGCAAACCAATTTAGTACCAAGATGTCTCTAGAGGCCTCGCTCAGTGACTGGTCGAGCTAGACCTAGTATGGAAGCAGAAGCGAGCATCTCACTCGGACAATGTTGCTATGGCCTGAGTGCACGTTTGATGCACGCGTTGCTCTTCGACATCGCTCGGGTTGGGCGCTGTCGTCACTTTGGGGTTGAATCATTGAAGGACCGTAAAGCGACCGTGAAGTAGTGAACTGCGTGCTTTTCCGCCAATTACGGCCAACTCCAAGCGGCACTTTAAAACGTCGTTGATGCTTCAATCAAGAATCTTATCAATAACTCATCAAACCACTTCCTACCAACTAAATGACATCACTTTTAACACCATTACCACCCAGTAACATCGAGGCCAGCAGCCCAAACAATGTGCCTGAAGTGCCTCGTGAATTTTCAAAGGTAGAAGGTTCTGGGCATCAGCGAGAGAGGCAGTCGCGTGTGGTACGATGATCTCCTTGTTCTACTTGGCGGAGAGCACTAAGCCTGCGTAAGTTGGACCTCGGTGGAATCAAATTGGAATACGATGAGGGGGATCCACAGTCCATCAAGCAACTCATCGACGCCGTGTATTCAAAATATCTTGTATCGCGGAATCGAGTCCACCAGTACACAAACTTCTTGACGATGCTGAAACGCGAGGAGGATACATGGGCAGAGAGATTTAAGCGCGCGAGCAATCTAATGCCTGATTACAAACCACCCATGGAGTGGATAGCATCATAGCCTAACAACTTGGAAGACCGTATACTTCCAATCTGAATCTTCCTCGATCTTTTATTTTAGCATCACTGATCCTTTGTATTCAACGTTTGTAAACCATCATTCGCACTCATCGATATCAGCTACGTACTGGATTTCGGATTTGTATTCTTTACTCATTACATTTCCCTCAAGTAGGCTACCCAGCCGAGCTTTCATTCCTAACAAAGACAAATATACTCTTATTCAAAACTCACATGGTGACCTGGTGAAGTATTTTCCAAACCAGATTGTGTATTGCGAATGCCATTCGATTATCCACCGTCGGGTCACTTCGCGTTGTGTTGCAGTTCAGTGCGTTGCTACGGGCAGACTCCTTGTAGGGTTTACGATTGCATTCCAAAGTGAAGCCCATCATCATGCTCATCATGCTCATGTCCTTCTGCAGCTCTGGACTGCGACAGTAGCTCCTGTCTGTAAAGGCATACGGGCTCTATGCGAATTATACAGTCAATTTGAGTCGCAGTGTTGATCATGAAACAGGAAACAGTACTATTTTGGAGCAGACGATCCACTCATTCTGATGCGAGCTAGAGAATCTCGACGTTTCTAGAGATCAATAATGCAAGCATCATTCCGGGCTATGATCGGTTTCAAGTCTACTTATCCTCCAGGTATACTGGAGGCTATAGTGATCGTGTGCGTAATTCCGTTGGAATTGATATCAACTTGTTTGTTACATCACCTTCAGATCGTTTGAGATGCCAGCCTGAACACACTACAGGCAAGGAAGATACTAGCTGTTCTGATCAGCGGTTTTGTATACATCGTGCCATATCCTTATGTCCCGTGCATCCGGGTCAGCGTGCTGATGGTCAATGCAGGTAATCTTCATCGCGTGTTCAAGCTATAAGCTCGAAGAGTTAACGAGCAAGATGCGCGATGCATTCATTGGGCCGGCCTGTGGCAACTTTACTTTGTAATCGCTTGGTTGTCGCATTGTCTACCTTTGTGGTGCAAATGGGGCGACATCAATGGCATTGCTTTGATTCTAGGTGGGCAATCGGAGTATTAGAAAGAGCATTCACAATGTATCATCCTCGGATATTGAGAAACCGCTTTGTGGTTGTGGTTGTGGATACCATGGTGCGTCCACAGCAGCCCAACCTTTATATACTGACATGCACGTACCCTACACCACCACACACACTCCCGCCTCATATTATTTGCAACTTTGCATCTCCTTGTTTTCCTATATCAATTATGAATTCGTTCAAGAAGATGTTTCAAAAGTGAGCCTACCGCTTTCATGTTCTACTCATTGTAATCATACTAATCAATACTCCTCAGGTCCAACGACGACCAGACGGCGTCGCTTAAGCACTCCAAGTCGATGCCATACGGATTCTCTTCACAAGGGAGGATGCGCGAGCCTCGTGCCGATCCTTCCAAACCCGCGTACCGTGGTAAGAACCCCCTTAAAAAGTCCGACATCGTCTACGTCGAGCAAGCTCCGGGGATGCTCGAGATCCACCACGGCAAACTGTCGCAACACACCTACTACCACGGTCCGACTCGCGCGAACTCTGACGCACGCGAGGGTTTGTTGGCCAAGTTTCCCCATTCCCCTGAACCAACCCAGGGCGTGCCTCGCAGCGGTTTCAGAACCGTTTCTTTAAACTCACGAAGCACCAGGCCCCAATTGTCTGTCCGTGGTTCGAATTCAAGTGGACAACAAGCCTACCCTTCCATGTCCCGCAGAATACAGAGACATGAGGCCACTGTTCATCAAGCTTCGGCGGGTGTACTACAGATCCCTGACGACCATACTCGCAGTGCCGGATTGGCAAACGTATTCGCGCCAAGTCGAGCGCTGGTCGTTCGAACATTCCTCCTCCCCACGCTCCTGCTCCCCCTCTTCCTAACCCCTGCTCCATTCATCCGGTACTCACTCGCTTCGCACAAAGCTCACGCGTAAACATTCGAGAGGTTCCGTCCCATATCGCCGTCCCGACTCCGGCGCCAGCCAATCCCCAGTCTCGCTGGCCTGACTCCAAATACAATGACATTTTGTACGAGCGGGACCCGAATGTACTCCGTGACAGGATCAATGGTTATCCCTTGACGCCTGTTTGCAGCGAACACTGCCCAGAACACATGCGTTCCATAAAATTTGACATGTACGCACCGCAGCGTCCCAACGAGACACTTCAACAAGCCATACATACCGCATTGGCTCAAGGCCGTGCCCTCGATGTACGCGCAGGAGGCCGTTACCGCCGTATCTTTGACGCGCATGACCCAATGGGCATCGTTCCGGAGACTGGAACTGATTGGGCACAGCAGGGTGGTCATCGGTGATTTTATGGAGACTGACGTCTGTTTGTGAAGAGAGTTTTGGTGCTGGTTTACCTACTCGTGTATGTCGTGTGTTATGTATATGTATATGTATATGATTTATGATTTATGAAACGAAATCCATTTGCCATTCGAGGGAGATCATGGTCAGCTTGATGTGTGTTAGAGTGTAAGCACTCATGTCTGATAGAGAAATCCAAGTAGCCTCGAAGCTACGCCGGCAACTACTACTAACAGTTGCAGAAACCCCTTGAACGTTGCTATTCTCTTGGACTGAGTAGGTTTGAAACCTGCCAAGAAATTAATTTTATTCTTTATCACACCTTGACATTCACTTAGTATGTACAGTCCCCCCGAGGTACATCTCAACTTTGTCCTGGCGGCAGTGGTGTACACAAGAGAGTTTCTCTTGGATTGTCCGGGCTCAAAACCTGCCGACGACAATCTTTTTTATTGGAACACTCGACATTTAAATATTCACTCATCTCCAGGTGGGGGCAACGTTCAATACCAGAAACAACATTTATAATATCTCAACTCTGTCTCGCCAAACATTTCAGACAAGATCAACAATATCACAGCGGTCGATCATCAAACGAAAAGCTGTTTGCAAGTGCAAAGACGCTAGCACATACGAATTCGAGAATGTCACTGGACTACTCGAGTGAAACAACAGGACGTCGCATCTCGTGAACCAGAAGGGAAGCGAAGTGACCTGAGAAGATAGCTGATGAGGGAGAGCCGGTAGAGCAGAGGGAAAGTGCAATGGAAGAAGTCGTGTGCGAAAACCCCAGCTAGAGTCAAGGGTGGAAGGATCCCGCATGGAGACAAGCCCATATGAGGAGCAGCAACACTAGCGTTCGATAATTTGCATGAAGAGCTGCTGCTCGATGGCAATTTACTTTGTGGATGTTGTCGACGACTGGTGCGCGTTGAGGGAGAAAGACACCCACAATCCCTGGACCGTGTTCGACACCATCAACCTCCAATCAATGTCAAGCACCATACCCCTTCGAACTTTTGAAGATCATCAGGGGATCGTAAAGGCAGTCGCAGTGTTCCCTGACAAGCGACGAATAGTCACAGCCTCGAACGACAAGACACTTCGTCTGTGGGACTTGAAGACAGGTGTTGTGTTGAAGAAGATGGAAGGACATAGCGGTGGAGTGTGGGCATTGGCGGTATCACGAGATGGTCAAATGATAGCAAGCGGTGATACAGAGGGAGAGCTCATTGTCTGGCACGGAGAAACAGGTGAATCCATCACTCAACCCATTAAAGCGCACTCCAAGTGGATCACCTCGCTGCATTTTTCTCCTGATGGTACGATGCTGGCCACTGGTTCATGGGACGAAACGACGAGGTTTTGGAGTACCGAAACATGGCAGATGCAAGGAGAACCTAATCAAGTGTGATGTTAAGATCAACTGCGTTCGATATTCGCCATCTGGGAAACTTCTTGCCATCGCAACAGATAGCAATAACGAAATTTATAATTCAAGCACGAGGGAGCGCGTCGCATCTTTCAGGGGTCACGGACGCCCGATGGCAAATGCCTTCTTTCAGCAGGCAATAAAGACGATCCTACCATACGGGAGTGGGATCCATTAAATTGGGAGCAAGTCGGTCATCCCTGGGAAGGCCATACTCGCAGTATCTACGCCATTGCCATTAATCCCGCTGGCACTCTCGTCGCTTCTGCATCTGATGACAACCATCTCCGTCTCTGGCGGCTCTCAGATCAGCGAACCATCGCAATCTTCAAGCACCCATCCAGCCTGACATGTATCACATTTTCTATGGATGGCAAGCACATCCTCAGCGGAGGTCATGATAAAAAGATCTCAGAGTATGAAGTACCGAGTGACCTCAATTCAAGGGCGAGTTTCCATCCTCGACTCTCATACTTGACGCAATTCGAGCATTCTTCGTGTAGATCTTGGATATTGCGACAGCCCGCAATGCATGCATCATTGGGGACCTGCACACCGCTGAAGAGTTACTCAACCAAGAGATCGATACCGATGCCAACCCTTATACTTCTTACGCCAATCGCTCATTCATCATGGCCCGAAATCACGACTGGGACCATGCTCTTCAGGATGCAATTGAAGTGAGTTATGCTGACCCGTCATGGTCTTCTTGCAAAAGGCTAACCTTCATTCATGACATAGTCCGTCAGTATTCAGCCTTCATTGACAGGCTACATCGCCAAAGGAATCGCCCTCTGCGGAAAAGGCTGCGTCCGGGAGGCAAGGATAGCATTCGACGTTGCATCCGTGTTCCCAAACCAAGATTCAAAAGCCAATCATTTTCTCCTCTTGATCAAGGTAGCTTCAGTTTGTTTTGCATCTTCTCTATTTCACTGTGTGTTTCAGGCCATTGCACTCTTCAACGCAGATCAACGCGAGGAAGCAATGCTGCTCGTTGAAGAATTCACTGCCGCTTGTCCGAATACCGATCCCCTCGGGTGTCATGTCGTAGAAGTAAATATCGTGCAGCCACGCTCGGTCATCAACGCTGATCTTCGTCACTTGCACATTAGACATATCTACGCGTTCAGCTCGGAATCACAGCCTTGAATGGTGCGCGTTATGACGAAGCTGCTGACCACTTCACTACCGCTATCAACTCCAGCGCTTTCTCATCGAAAGCCATTCATGAAATATTCGAGGACTTGACCGTGGTGTGTCAAGATGATATATACATAATATTTTTCATAACTGAGTGCTTTGTCTAGCTCTTCGGCTGGGACGTCAAGTCCTTGCGTCTCACTGCAAACCAGAAACGGTGCCAGGCTTTCCTTTCGGGAGGTGAACCCAATGAAGCCCTCGAAGCACACAAATACATGATGGACACCATCGACGAATCTGCCAAAGCCAGCTGCCTTGATTGGTCCAATGGCAAGTTTTCATTGACGCCACTCAGGCTACATACTCACCACCATTTGACCCAGAATTTAAGAAGCGATGTAGTGCACTCGCTGCACATGATGACCGTATTCTTGGCGTATGTACTCTCTTTCTCATTTCTTTCTTTACCGACCTGTATGCAGGCGGAGATACCCGAGCATGGTCATGATGGCTACGATATAGGACCCAATTTCTTCTATGGAATGCATCAAGTGTGTGCAACAGCGGGTCTTTCTTCTTTTCACATCATTCATTACAGCATTCTCAGATTTCCAGGTCACGACCTCAACAGCGCCCTGGACGTCTTAAAGACTCAGGCTCGCTATGACGAGAACCCCTCGTTCAGCTCCTCTACCTGTACCACCCACCACCACCACTACTACCACCACCACCACCACCACCACCACCACCTTCAAAACTTACTTACGGCACCTATTCACCTGGCTGCCCCATCATGCAATGCCGCCTGTTGTCGATGTTCCTTTTGCGCAGGGTCGACAGGTGTGCCCGGTCTATATTCATAATTGTGTCTTGGGTGTCTGATATGTAAACATGCAGCGTAATGCTGCAGCGGGTGCTCCTGAGAGTGAGCACTCTTTGATACGTGATGAAGACTATCATGAACCTCCTACACCGGACCCCAATTCACGGCAGCAAAAGCAAACGGTAGCAGTTCAGGCAGACACCGGGCAACACGGAGGCGACCGGTCGTATTGCTGTTGCTAGCATTGGTGAATGTGCGAGGGTATTTCAGTTCTATTGTCGCTTCGTACTGGCAGTTCTTATTTTATTGATATGTATCCTTATTTCGTGTCCTCATCTATAGCTAATCATAACCATCAAACTCGCATCCTCCATTTGTACAGCTTGCCTTGCACACAGCAAATGAATCCTGATACATTTTGACTTCACCCGAGGATATTGGTCTGCCAAAGTTGGTGGATATCTTGAATTTACCTGAGTCCTGCACGGACGATAAATCGGAGGACGACCTCCGTGATGACGCGATTGAATCATAAGTTGAAGGGGCACTTCCGAAGACTTGTATCACCCATACCATTCATTGCCAAGTGATGCATATTGCTACATACATGGTCTTGACATCGGTGGTTGGAAAGCTCAAGACACCATGGAGGAGTGACCTGCTGAGGCATGCACAACAGAAAATGGGGACTCGGTAAGAACGACAGACTGAGATATGATGTTAAACTTCCTCCCAGTTGGTGCCAGTACCAGTACAAATGGGATGACTCAGGAGTATTGTCGCAGCTGTGATGGACTCGGACAGAAGGTAATAAGATAGGCCTTGTCAGTATGAAATCTATGGTTATTGGCGCTTAAACATCTGTGAGGCCAAACTTTGATATCATATCTAGATGCCATATGCGATAGACGTTTCCATAATGTTAAATCAGGGCACCTCGTAAAGTGCCGGCAGCATCCATGCAGCCATAAATACTCCAATAACATCGATCGACGCCATCCAGCAGCATCGCCACCTTCAATTCTTCTCTATGAATTGATTAAAGATCTCTTCGACCTCCCAAGCGCCCGCCCAGTACTTGACCTGACACTGATGACCACCTTCTCGAGAAATGCGGCCCTCGAGGCCACGGAACCGCCGGCAGAGCACTAGATCCTGGCTACTAAACCTCAGCAACGAGATAAAAGTAGAAAATGATGCAGATTTACCTTCGCAGTCTGAGGATAGGACAAAAGTCATTAGACCCATCTCCAACATAGACGATACGGTCGTAGCCAGGCTTGTGGCGCTCCAAAAACGCAGCGAGCTCTTCACCTGGGTGCTGCGTTAGCTAAGATTTTGCGGTCGTATGGAGCGGAACAAATGACCTTTACACATGTTGGGGCTGCATCCGACTGCACAGCTGTGCTGAGGCCCGTCGGGGTCGACTCTACGACGGAGCTTGAGTAAACCCGAAGGATCAAACTCTGCTGGGTTAGTCACGATTTCTTCAAACAGGTTTTGCAGCCCTTTGGACTGCGATTCCTCATGAGCCAAAGCGACGAACTCGAAACGCGAGGGAAGGCACCTCAAGAATAGTGTTGATAAAAACAGAGTTAGCGTTAGAGAGGCAAAATAATGTAGTGGTGGGGTTGGACGCTCCCTTGAGGTTGGTGATACCGCGTACCATCGCGGGGTGCTAAAAGTATATGCTTCAAGATGCCTACTCCCCTACATGCGAGTTACTCACGAACGGCATTTGACGAAGGGTATGTTCGATCTCCTCACGCGTCCTGCCGCGTGCATGAATTTCCTGCAACGACTGTGCTCTGCAAGCCATGTGAGGTTGATTGGATAGGAAAATGGAGTGCACGGACATGAGATCGGTCCATTGAACGCTTTGTTGGAGCGTTTTCATCTTTCTGCGGATATCAGGCGCCAAGACTTCGAATACCCAGCGATCAGTGTCTTGATCTGCCATCGACCTAGGATGCGAGACATGTATGATAAATGACGGAGCGAATGAGAATGAATTACCAGTCAAAGTCGAAGACGATCAACTGGGTTCTGATCGCGGTCATGGTGGTTAAAGAGATAAGTCGATCTTAGAATGGTGAGCTTGGTGTTGTACGTCGCGGTGTTTAAAAGTGTACATTATTGGAAGGTGGTTGTGTGAGCGCAAAGTCGACGATGCCTACGACGTTGTGTTCCGCCAAAGCATCCTACAAAAAACAACCCGGTACTCTCGAACTAACAGATTCACTTTTAATATGGACACAAGAAGGCAAGAAAACACCAGCAGTCCGTGTTCAGCACCCAGAAGCATCTTGTAAGTAAACTCAATTCACATCACATCAAGCTCATTATCGCTTCCAGCTCTGTTCTGCAGCAAAGAAGGCGCTGCTCAAGTCCGCCTCAAACTTGGACTTGTAAACGATGAAGCAGGACATAATTTTACTTTCACTTCGCCTTCAGCAGTCGCGTACGCCGAGCGGGAAGCATTCAAGCAAGAGCTCACAAACATCATCTCTCGAAACCGGAGCGCTGCACCGACACCTTTACCAAAACCGACACCACTCAGCACACCTGCAAAGACACCTGCACCAATCCCATCCACATCCCGTGCCACCTCCGTCTCGAGTGACACTCGCACTCCAATCCTCTCCGGTATAGATGCAGCAACTGACTTTCGCCTCAGAAAAAAAGTCCTCCTTTCGAATCCTGAACTTTTGGTGCTACATAAAGAGCTTGTTATGAGTGGTCAAATCACTGAGTCTGAGTTTTGGGATGGCAGAGAGGTATCGTATCCTGCCTTTATACACCCCTTTCTTGTCCTGAGTTATTATGAAGCACCTCTTGCTTGCAGAAGCTGCTGCAGAGGGCCAGAAACGCGGGCGTCCAGGCCAGCTCGTCGACCCTAGACCACAGACCGTAGAAGGTGGCGAGGTCAAGATTGTTATCACCCCACAGCTAGTTCACGACATATTCGACGAGTTCCCCGTCGTTGCAAAAGCATACAATGACAACGTTCCTAACAAGGTCCGTCCCAATTCCATATTCATCGCCTGTATCTAAACTGCACCGCTACAAGCTCTCAGAAGCCGAGTTCTGGAAGAGATATTTCCAGTCAAAGCTCTTCAACGCCCACCGTGCTTCTATCCGTTCCTCGGCTACGCAGCACGTCGTAAAAGACGACCCCATATTCGACAAATACCTAGAGAAAGACGACGATGGTACACCACTTCTATCTACTCTGAAATTCACCCCCGTCATTTCATTCCACAGAGCTAGAGCCCCGAAGAGCACGAAACGAAGTCTCGGACCTCTACATCAATATAGGAGCGACACTTGAGGACCATGTAGAGGTAATACCATCTAGCATGTTTGGTTCATGTTCTCTCTTACCCTGAACAGACAGGAAACGAAAAGGACGTGACGATGCAAGCCGGAAGACAACGCGGGGCCCTCCCTCTCATCCGAAAATTCAATGAGCATTCTGAACGATTACTCAATTCCGCTTTGTCTGTCTCTTCTTTTCAGAATCCATACTGATCTTGACGAGCTCAATGTATGACAGAGGCGAAGTACCACCCGCCAAACGCCGACGCATTGATAGTGGTAACGATGAGGACGACGACGCATACGCCCAGATCACGCTCGATGATCTAAGGGACTCAGAAGCTATGAGTGGAATCACGCTCCAGATGCAAGACCGCGAGCGGTATTTCGAGGGACAGCTTGCTCGAAGTGCTTCAGAGCAGGCAGGTAGTGAGGTGCATTTCCCTCCATTCTATTCTCTTGTATCTCAAAGTACTCACACACTGAATAATCAGGTCGTTGACGTCCGCGCCGCTTTTACAGAATTGAAACATGGCTTTAGGGGTTGGGAGACGCGATTCAGTCAGGTAACGTCTCCTTTTTTGATGTATCGACGACACATTCCCAATTCCTTTACAGCTTCGAATAGACAAAAGAGCAGGAGACGCAGCGCTTGACTCAATGACTCAAAATGTCTCTGCGCGATTAGATATCCGCACTAGAAAAAGTGCGTACCCCTCACAATCACCACCTCTTTCATTCAAACCCTTGCTTTAAAGCTGATTTCCCACCAACGCTCTTCCGCCAACTCACGACATGCCAAACGGCTGCAAACGAGTTCCTGAGGCAATTTTGGACTTCTCTCTATCCTCCCCCAACGACTACTTCATCAGGCGCCACGCCCTCTCAAAGCGTAGCTAAAGCAGCTAAGATGGCGGGTTATCTCAGTAAGACGCGCGAGAAAGTCGAGGCGCTCGTGCGGGCGGGCCAATTAGAGGGTGTAGAGCCTGAGAGAGTAGAGGTGGTGAGTCTTTGTTCTCTTCTTTTGTTTGGATGATTTGTGCTGAACGCGCTTTTGCGATAGGCTATGAAACCCCTCTTGGACGCTGTCGATCACGCGCTTGCGTTTTATAGGGCGCGGAGTACAAAGACTTCGACGTTTAAAACTGCGTAGTGCGATTCAGGAGGGTGATTGCGTGTCTCAGCATGTAACATAGCCATAGTGCATTGATATTTTACAGCATATAATCTAATCAGCTTTGAGCATGTGTCCCTCCAAGTTCCACGACGTGGTGAACTCTAAAGCGAGCGGTCAACTAGGATTATCTCGCTCAAGACTCCACCATGATCAGTAGGGCCCCGGCTGAACCTGCAGCTGCCCGCTTGACCACGCACACTCATACACCGTGACGACAACTAAGAGATGCAACGCTGCCGCATAAAAGATAAACGCCGTACGTGCACGCCGGTTCCCAATAATCCCACGCGTGAGCACGAGCACACCTCGCTCGACAGGATTGAGAGCCTCATATGCACGTGTCGCTTCCTGAACGACAATCATCAACCCAGCACACACGAAGCCCAAGTACAGGACACATACCCTCCCACGAAACGCTTCAAACGGATTCATCGCTTCCTCATACCTCGTGCGCCATTTCCCTAACTCGTCCCTTCCACCACCACCACTTCCACTTACATTCCCGCTTCCGCTTCCGTTAAATGCCGAGGAAGAAGACGGCGGAAGAGGGTCAAGCTGCGAGACGGATCCTTGTTCGCGGTATGATTGCATGTAACGGACTTTCTCGTAGAGCTTGAGGTTGTCGGATTGGAGGGATTTGATTTCGGTGCGGAGTTCTGAGATGGTGTGGTAGTGTTTACGTAGTTCCTGGGGGCGGGTTAGCATCGGGCGGGATGAATGACGACAGAAGAGCTGTAGCAGAAATGTGAATGCCAAACTTGACACTTACTTCCTCAAGCTCTGCGTTCCTTTGCCGGAACCGATCCCGCTGACTGGTCACGATAGGAAGAATCGAGGTATCGGCGGATGACGTGAAAGGTATCGGTGTCGAGCGTGTGGTGCTTGGATCCGCTGCGTCCTGTCATATCAATTGTACCAACTGCCCAAATTAACTCCTTCAAACGTAGACAAACCTTGGTCCGTAAGCCAAATTCGAGCCCAAGCCCCGAAATCCCACTCTCCCCGTTCTCCCCGTTCTCCTCTCTTAACCCGCCCCCATTGTTGGTGTTCAGAGCAAGTAGGTCCGTCTCGAGTTTCTCACAAAGGGCTTGTTGCTTGGCAAGTTCTGTGTGCGTATCTGCGAGCTCATCTTGTGTGCTTTTGAGGGAGGCTTCAAGAGATGTGTGGAGGATCTATGGAACAGAAAGTTGGATGAAGAGGTCAAAATCAACAGTAAGCATACCCTAAATTGAGTCAACTCCTCCAATATCCGTTTATTCTTCGTCGCAAGGAGCACTTCAAGACTCTTTCCGTGCTGTGCATTTGCTTTGTCCGCATTTGGATTTGGCAGATGTACTCCGTCTTCGTCCTCATCAGGACTTGACCAATCATCATCGGGGTCGAGACCTGCAAATTCAACGTACTATCATGGGGTCGACACGATGAGAAGGACACACGAGGGAAAGGCGCACCTTCAGAATCTCCAGTTCTCGCTTCACCTCGTCGTAATCTGCGTATGTTTTTAGTTTGATCTTGAGAGCGTCTACTTCTGCACGAGCAGAGTCTGCTTCACGAGCCTGTGGTGTGTTTAGGTTATCATGAGGTATGTCTCTCCAAACTTGAAACGACACCTACCTTCTCTGAAATCTGCTCCTCTGATCGCGCTGCAGCGCTTCGTGCGACGTCAACGGCGCTTTCGAGTCGCGTGCGCTCGGACTCAAGCTCGGAGAGACGAGTTGTAAGCGATCTAACACTGTTCGAACATATGCATGTCAGTTGGGTTGAGAGCACGTATAAGAGTCAAACACTCAGAAAAAGTGGGTGGAGGGGAAAGCGAAATGGAAGATCAGACGTACCGTTCACTGCTTTCGCTGCCAGTGCGCAATGCCTCGATCTCTCCACGGAGTGCTTCCTGTGGAAGTAGTCAGTGTCAATTGGATTTCAGAAGAGTAATAAAAAGGAAAATAGTAGGGTGAAATGCATGCATAACAACGAAGGGAAGGTGGTGATATGTCAACCATGTGACAGCTGTATAGTAACTGGGGTGGACGCATGCAAGATGATGCGTAACAAATAATGTGGAACAACAGAAAAATGACGAACAAGGAGTAGAGGCTGATACAACTTACATTCCGCTGCTCGACGGTCACGACTCTGCTATTCGCACGTTCCAAGTCGACCATGATCATGTCAGCTTCTGCGAGACGGGAAATAACTTCCTGGTCTAAGTAGAAGTGTCAGCGTGCAAGAATAACGAAGCAGCAAGAAGGAAGCAAAGCAGCACAACTTGCCTTGACGCTGGCTGTGATCAAAAAGCTTCGCTTGATTCGATTCGTTCGACAATCGGAGATCGCGCACTTGGTCCCTATATAGTGCAACTTGGCGATGCAAGTCCTGTTCCCTGCATCTCAATCAGCATCATGCAACTGCAAAACATTGACCTAAGTAAACAACACGCCACGTACCGTTCCTCGTAGTTACGCATGCGTTCGTCGTACGCAGCATTGATCTCAGACTCCTTCTGCGCGACAAGCTCGTCCATACGCGTCTCCAACTGTTCGACACGACGCTTGGACCCATCAAAAGCGCTAGACGACTGTCGAAGCTCAGCGTTCTCAGCACGCAACCGGGCAACTTCAGCTTCCAGTGCATGCGCTTCTGCGGCTTTAACCGTTTGGTCCTACGCCCGTGTGAGATTGGGGAGAAGTGAAGAAGATGGGTGAGACGCACGACAGCAGCTTCGAGTAGAGGATATGGATCCGGTGCTTCAGCGAGGACCTTGTACACGTTGAGGAACGCATTCTCAGAAACCTTTGACCGCTTCGTGAGGTTGTCGATCTCTGTCTGGTACGCTACGCCAGGGTTAGCAATTGATGGCAGGTCACTGAGAAGAGGATATGCGAACCTTTGAGCAGGCCTTTGAACGAGTTCAACTTTTCATCATCTGGAATCTTCTTGAACTCTACACAAAGTTGGGAGCTGCTGAAAATCAAAGAAGGTATGCACGCGGACCTTTTGTGCGGTCAGCAAGCTGCTTACGACCCAGTACAGATTCCTTCTGGTTGTCGACGATCTCGATACCTTGAGCGTCCAGCGTCTTTTGCAGCTCGTGCAGCTTGATGTCTGCGCTCGTTAGCTTGTCGTTTTATGCATTTAATTTACTTTGCGTACCCTTCCATGTTGCCAGCGCACCAGAAAAGTTGTGCTCTGCTGCGCTCATGGTCAACCGCGTCCTAGTCTAAGCGTAGTAGGCCACGTGACTCTACTAGTGTATGTATATAGATATACAAATAATGCAAAAGATTAGTATTACTCACGATAAGTTTTGAACACTTCAAAAAACTCGCTAAAGCTTCAAAAAACTCGCTAAAGTCTTTAACAAACTCGCTAAAGTCTTCAACAAACTCGGCCAGAAAGCCATCAAGACACACGGCACACACGGCATCAGAGCGGACTTGGAAACACTTAGTCAAATTTTAAGGCATGTATACTACACAAAAATATATAGATGTAGCTAGGTATCTAATGAACGAGATATAACAAAAAAGAAATGTGTGATAGTGAGGGAAACACGAGATTCAGAACGGAAGTATGAGAGAGTGAGAGTGCGGGCGCATGAGCTGGGAGGTAGAGTTAGGGGATTCCGTTTGATCCGGCGTTTGAACGCTGAATGTGTGACAGCAAGGGAGACACAAGCAGTGTAAGAGGGCGGGAGCATGTGCTAGGAGATAACGAACATGTTGGGGGATTCTGTTTGATCCGGCATTCGAACGCTGGACGCGTGACAGCGAGGGACACAACAGCAGTGTGAAGGGCGGGAACATGGACACAGGTGTGTGGGGCTGGCCCGGCCGGGAGATACAACAACAGCCGGTAACAACAGACTACAAAAGAAATTCATAAGTCAGATAGCAACAGCAGCAAAAAAACGCGACAGCAGAAAGCAGCAATGATGATACAAAAATAAGCCGCTAGCGGACAGTATGATAGGAAGGGGAACAACAGCAGCAAACATGTCAGCTATCAGACGCAGAAGCGGTACTACCGCTCTGCGTCATCTGGTGAAATTGAATCTTCAGGCGCCACATCTCTGCCTCCTTGTCAAGCGCAAGGGCCTGGGCCTCGTGCACTCGGACATCTGTCTCGCGAAGGCGGATTTCCGCGTCCTTGGTCTCCTGCTCTCGTTGATGGCTGGCGGCAGCTTGCATGGCCTCATGTGCGCGCGCCTCGCGAAGATACTCGTACTTCTTCGTCTCACGATGGTAGTCCTTCTTCACATCAAGCTTCGCGAGGAAGCGCTCGTGCTTGAGGTTATGGCGTGATGTGACGTCCAATTGAATACTCCCAATCTCACCATTGACCCTCTCAACCTGCTCCTGAATGTCGGACTTTGCTTTCTTCTTCTTCGACCCTGTGGTCTTCGGTTGCGCTGATATTGAGGTCTGGAGGGTCGGAGACGCAGGAAAATCTGACGATGAAGTGTTGTGAGTCGTCGATGAAGGTGTCGACGAGCTACGAGTCATCCCTGGCGACGACGATGCAATAGACGAAGGTCTGCGTCGTGCGTCGTAGCCAGAGGGCCCCTGAGCGCTGAATGCTGCACGGCTGTCGTAGAAAGGAGTGGGTGACTTCTGCGTGATTGAAAAAGGGATGGGGTGGTTAGGAGGAGGAGACGGCGATGATGGGAGTTGTCGTTTTTTCCCGGCAACCTTTGGAGGGCTGTTAAGGTCATAAGTAGGGTGCGGGGCATCAGTGTCCATATTGTCGTCATCCAAGTGGTCTAGTGCATTGCCCAGAGGGGCACGGAAAGCAGCGGAATATAAGTCGTCGTCGTCAAGATCAGGAACATTGCCCATAGTGGTATCGAAGTCGGCATTTGGAGGTGCCGGAGGAGCAGGAGGAGCAGGAGGAATAGGAAGAGCAGGGAAATGAGGAAAAGCAGGAGTGGGAGCAGTGGGAGGAGCAGAAGGAAAGGGAGCAGGTGAAGGAATGGGAGCAGCGGGAGCAGGCAAAGGAATGGGAGCAGCGGGAGCAGGCGAAGGAACGAGAGCAGCAGGAGCAGCAGGTGCTAGCAGACGAGGATCAATTTGTGAATCAGTAAATGGGCGGCTATGAGGAGGCAGAACATGAGAGGGGGGCTGAGCCCTGGTAGCACCCCTGGTATGTGCGGAGGGGCCAGCCCTGCCACGCGGACGTACTAGCGCGTACATGTCACCAGCATGGTCAACGCCAGGCTTGGACGATGTAGTTTTTGCTGCAAAGGAGGGATTTGAGTGCCAGATGGCGTCGAGTTCCTTGTACCATGGAAATTCGCGACAGACTTCTTCTACAAATTTGAATCGGTCAAACCGCTAAACAAATAAATAAGAATGCTCACCTTGTAGATTTTTAGCGGAGGCGTCATCAAGAGGGACTACACCAGCACCGGTTGCGCTGAATTTAGCCTTAAGGGGCTTATATTTGTTTTTGAGACTAAGGATCTTATCAGCGCATAGTACAAAAAATATAAACATGACATACCTTGTGATACGGTTGTTGACAGAGTCACGAAATTTCTTCTGACTGTTTGCATATTCCAGCCCATATTTTGCGTGATGTTTGAAGATGACCTGAGCAATAACAGAGTAGATCTGAGACTTGTCCTTTCCCGAGGGACGAGCAGAAGAACTTGAATCCAGAGAGGGAGGTGGTTTCTTGCCATCAGAGTAGAATAAGATACGACAGTCGGGAGGGTGTTCGGTGAGCCAGGTGACCAAGACGTCAGTGAGAGTGTCATCACTCTGCCACTGAATCGTCAGCTTGGGTTTTGGATCGGGGGGAGGTGGTTGTATTTGAGATGTCGACGGCTCAGGATCCATCGCTCTAGAGCACACTGGAGGGTTGCCTCCAAGTCGTGCAGAACGACGGAGGCGTTGTTGGCGAACAGCAGGCATATTTCGAACTCAGCCATGGTGCCGAGCCTGACTTCCAAATTTGCCGCATGCGGCTGTGCTTGTTTTCAAGCTTTAGCGAGTTTTCTGAAGTGTTCAAAACCTATCGTGAGTAATACTATTAATGGTCGGTTACCGTTGAACGTTGAAACTCTACTATATCCTGATTCACAGTTTCCTTGTTATACCATTACCATATTGTGTGCCTACATGTGGGATACTTCAGTGATGTTGGCAGCCTGAGTTTATCGTGATTATATGGCCCGCAGTTGATGACGGTGGTCAACATGCCCATCATGGCTCGTCTAACTTTTCTCCAGAAGGTACTCCGAAGACCTTCCCAGAAACTACAGGCTCAAGCTGCACACCATCAACTTCAAAAGCCCCTCAACGTCAAGAGCAGCCTCACCAGGGATTTTTACTCGACTAAGGGCAAGTTGCTTCGTATAGTCCAAACTCAATCATGATGACCTGCCTGACCAAAATGATCATGAGCACCGACGTTGTTTCCCAGATAAATCATGTGCATTTAAACAGGTGGGTCACGATAAATACATCTCAGAACACCGACATATATTGACATCTGTCCTTGCTGAAGAACGGCCGGGTTGTCCTTACCGCTGCGACAGCACTGAACTTTGGAAGACAGGCTTCCGGTGTTTCTATCGCCGCTGACGTCCATAGCAGGAAGCTACAGGCGCCACGACAAGAAACAATTTGGGAGTCCCACGCTTCTGCAGATCAATCTATAGATCCCTCTCAACACGACTCTGAAGAGGTGTTCTACACCTCTCCCAGTTCACCTATATCTTCCCCTCCAGCTCACTTCCCATATTCGACACCTTTTCACTTTGCTGCATCGTCTACCGCCACTTTAGGGTTTGATAATCCCCAGTTCATATCTGTGTCAACAACATCCTTGATTGAATCTTCTCTGAGTACCACAGTCACCATGATTCCCATCAAGAACGAGCCGGGCTGTCATAAACGTATTCCCAACCACTGTAAGCTGGCTTATACGGATCGAGATTGGGCCAAAGACGTTCGGTGGCTTGAGGCCTCGCAACATAGCGGGGCTAGAGGCAACGATATCCCAATACTTTGCCGAGCAGTATCTCAAATGCAGCATCACGCTCTGCCTCATCTTTACCGACCACTGATGTGTCTTCTGTATGATTGCATGTAACGGCCTTTCTCGTAGGGCTTGAGGTTGTCGGATTGGAGGAATTTGACCTCGGTGACCTAATACTTACTTCCTCAAGCTCTGCGTTCCGTTGCCGTTGCCGATCCCGCTGACTGGTCATGATAGGAAGAATCGGAGTATCGGTAGATGGCGTGTAGCTGCTCTCAGGTTAACGTCTTGTGTGCAAATAGTCTATAATGCATAACTCAACGGTAAGTTTTCACGCATTACTTGGAGAATATTCGGGGTGATATTTAATGTTGGTGTTAGGTATTATCGGGCAAGGCTTACTTACTTACCCACCAGTGGGTGTTTGTCGGACAATTTGTGATTACTACTTGGTTTTTTGACCTTCGTACTTGCCAGTGAGCTTGAGGTACTTTCGATACCTGAGCTTATATGAGCGTAGATGCGGTCAAATAAAAGATATCCACTCATGCAGATCCAATCTCAGATCTCGGACGACGAGTTGGACCGCAAACCTCACCCCATGTGTATGTCAAGGCGCCATCTAAAAAACCCCGTCAACCTTTCACACGAAGCGGGCAGACTCTGCGCAAGTAAGGATTCCAATAAACATTTAAATCAGATCCAGCGGTGTAAACGCGGCATAGGCGGACTACATAAGAAAAAAGATCTAAGGGTATTGACTCGCTGCTAGTTATGATTTTGGACTTGGCATCTGCAGCATCCAATGAACTATCATTTGGTATATCATTTACAATACAAGATAGTATGTCAGGTAGTCTGTACATGAAACGAGTTGAGTGTGACGTCTTGATTACTGCCCTTTTCACACCGTGGAGGATGAATCGATGATGGCCCTCACATCGGGGTGAACGATATTTAAAAGAGGTTTATATGTTGTACAAAATGTGAAAACAATATTTGATATTTAAACTAACATAAAGATGGGTGCACGACTTCAAATTTTGGTGATGTTTTGTGTGTCATCCAAAATATCAAATATTCACAACCATATTCCCACAGACAATATGTCAACAAATATAATAAATATAATCAGATTTTCCATGTCTGCTTCAATTTAAAGTTTGATTCTTACATAAAACTTTGGAGAAAACTTGAAGTTTTGCCAAAGCTTGACATTTAAATTGAGTTTTAATGTCATGTCATCTGTAAAACTTCAAGTTTTCTCCAAAGTTTTACATGGAAATTGAACTTTAAGTTGAAGCAGACATGAAAAATCTGACTATATTTCTTATGTTTGTTGACATATTGTCTGTGGGAATATGGTTGTGAATATTTGATATTTTGGATTACACACAAAACACCACCAAAATTTGAAGTCGTGCACCCATCTTTATGTTAGTTTAAATATTAAATATTGTCTTCACATTTTGTACAACATATAAACCTCTTTTAAATATTGTTCACCCTGATGTGCCTGGCATCAGTAAACTCACATATTGCTTAATTTCCTTTTTCACTCTTAATTTTCCCACCCAAGAGCGGCAAAGTGCTGACAAGAACCAGAGCGCCTCCTTGTCACAAGGAGCAACAAGCTGCCAAGAAGATCCCGTCCTCTTGATTTGAGCATTTTTGCACTTGTTTTTAGAATGAGCTACATTACAATCCCTTTTGTCATACTTATTTTCAGCTTGTTCACACTTTTTTATACTTGTTCACACTTATTCACACTTGTTACAAGGAAAAACAATTTTATTTCAAGCAGACAAGTAGTAGCCAGCAACAAAAAAGTAAAATAAGGAAAAAAACAAGTACTACCAAGTAGATTAATATGAAGCTAAAAACAAGATATAGTAGCGCAGCAAAGCAAATGGTATAATGACATTATGTCGGAAATTTCTAGGCACCATTTTAGGGCCTTACAATACATTTTAAGGCATAATTTTCACACACCCCCTTTTAAGGCATCGCAATGACAGAGATAATCTTTCAAGGCGTCTTAAAAGGGAACTGTTCCCACATTATGATGCCTTGCAAAGGCGGGGGTCACAGACCAATCATGTAAGCATTGCAAGGCTTTAGAAGGGTCGACATGAGATTGCAAGACAAAAATAGATTTCCAAGGACTCGAGCATGTTTTCTAATTCTATTCTAATGTCAACTGTGCTATTTATAATATAGCTGTAAGACAACAGAAAATACCGAAAATCTGACCATATCAGCGCTTCCCCTTCCCCTTTCTGGCCTTGGTAGGAGCAACTGCTCTGGTGCCGCCATGGCGAGTGACACGTGTAGCCTTGTCAGGCTCTGACACGAAAGGTGGCTCGGGAACTGGGAGTTGAGCCTGAAAGGAAGATGCGCTGTGGGTCATTGACACTGATACAGAAGGCTCGGGAACCGGGAGTCGAGATTGAGGAGAAGATGCGCTGTGAGTCACTGGTACGGGGGGCTGAGCAACTGGGAGTAGAAATTGACGAGAAGATGCGCTGTGAGTCCCTGATACAGGCGGCTCATGGTTACCCAGTGACAACCGACTAACACCAAGTTGCAGCTGCGACGTTGTGGACACAGATTGTCCTTGGTTGATGGACATGGACATGTGGTAGCTGGACGTGACATCGACTATTGCTGAGCTAGCGGCAGGTGAAGGAGTGCGAGTCGTCGGAGTCAAAACCTGAGTGATTATAGGAGCATCGAGTTCATCAAGAAGGTCATCCTCCCATGTGCGAGGTTGAGGGATGGTATAAGAGTCATCAGAGGCTGGTGCATGAGACGGGCTGGTGATGTTGAAGACTTCCTTATTGAAGAAGTTCATGATGCTACAGGCCCATGGTGTGCGCTTGAATAAGCGCTCTAGGTAGAAATCGTAGTCGGCTTGGTAATTGATCTTGGTCTCGGCACCCGTTGCTGTGAATTCAGGATTGTGCGTCAACAAAAAACGCGCCTGGAATTGTCAACGAACATTTATTAAATGAATAAAAGAGAAAATATTGCTTACCATAACAGCGGCACCCACAATCAACCCTTTGGTTACACACTGCGCATTGCAACGCTGGCCCCTGGCCTTCTGACCTTTGATCTTCCCAGACAGGACCTTCTTCCCGAATATCTCGACATGAATGATCTAGTGAGCTGTTAGTATGCTGTGTTATATGAAAGCCGCAGTACTTACTTTGACAAGGACCGGACTCTTGAGGAACTCATCAGCAGACATTACATCAGGTCTCGTGAATAGGACAGGTGCCAGCCGAATGTATTCTCCATTGCCGTTTCGTTTCAGTAATGCAAGGAGGTCCTCGTTGTCCCACTTTCTAACATCTGTCTGAGATGCAAAGAGCGATGGATCCAGCTTGAGATCTGAAAAGATAATGCCTGCGCAACTCTTGATAGCATGTACAATGTTTGAATGCTCTGCGCTAACTGCAGCACGAAACTAATAATAATAATAAGCATATTAATGAACTGTATTGATAAGAGAGGAAAGGACGTACCAAGGAATCAAAGGCCATGTACTTCTCCATGGACTTGTGGAGATCCTGGGGCACACACTGGTACAATTCGGCCATAGAACCATCGAGCTTAGCCTTGGGAGATGCCCAATGCGAAGAACTGCGTGGGTCAACATCAGGCTGGGGAGTCGTCGGAAATACTCCAGGGATGACCCAAAAGTGATAGAATAACGCATAGATCTTCCCTTGGGAAGTGATCTTCATATCGAGTGCAGACGTCTTCTTGAGAGTGCAGTTGCGGCTGCGGGCGGGAACAGTGGCCGAAAGAGTGAAGTAGTCCTTTTTAAGAGCTCGAAACTCTACTCGTAGTGTATTGTAAGCTCGTTGAGCAGTTTCAAGAGCCTGTGTGTGTAGAATTATGTTAGTACAGTAGAGAATATAATAAAACACAGATCTACCTTGCGAACTTCGTGCATTGGTGCATCAGGCTGAGGAACAGTTAGGACTGCCCTCAACGTTCCCAGATCATCGTCACTCAAGCCTTCAGAGTCTGAATCTTCAGCATCGCTGACTGCATTGAGCTCAGCTTCAAAGTCTTCGCCATCAGAGTCTCTGTGAGGCATCATTTTGAAACCATTAGTGACAAGATAGTGAGAATGGGTGATGTGACACAAGCAGCAACAGACCTGAACATGCTGCTTATAATGAGACAGTTCCGTCTCCGCTATCGATGCGGTGCTGTCTAGAGTGATGATAAGTCATTATTAATATGACACGATACTGAAGTGTAGCGAACGAACTCACCTATGCATCGAGGCCTAACTGGATCAGATTTCTCCTTTATTGGTACATAGTCTGTGGTTGTAAGGCGGATTCAGAAGGGTCCAGTTCAAAGGCAGAGCACTAACGAGCATCGTGGAAGATAAAATAGCTGCATGAGTATTAATATTAGTAATGAAATGGTCGGAGTAAGAGGGAGAGAGAGTAATAATGCACGCACCATCCTCATGGCAAGCTAATCATTTGTCAAAATCAATCAGCACGGTGTTCCAATTCCACTTACATCACCGTATTATCAGAATCCTGAGAGACAAGTACTTAGCTGAGGAACACGAGAAACATTCTCAGTACTTACCAAGGAGCCGACCAATTTTGTATTCCGTTCATGCCAGGGTGATGACAGTGTGAAGAACGTCGAGGAACGGTTGGTTAAGTGCCGCAGACAACATCTTCTACTCAATACATTAGATCATTGGCAGCAGAACCCACTGTAACACTCACAAACACGATGAACCTTGACGTTCTCACAGAAAATATCTGCAACATTGTGTGGACCACGCGCGACGATGTCCAGTAGCACACTGTGTCTTGGGTGACGATTCAGACTGCAGACACTTGATTTTTGAAGGCGGCTGATGGGTGATATTAATAGTAAGTATAAATTAATACTTGATGGAGAATTGAGCGAGCAGTACCAGTTATTATCACAAGAAGTCACAAGATGTGAGTGTTTCTTGTGACCTTGGGACTCTTGGGGGGCTCGATAATGAGATGAAAACCGTTGCGATGCTGCTGTCATAATTGTAACGCTATGAACAGTCTTGCAAGAGGTCAGTAGCTGACTAATAAGCCAACGGAGATTGCTGAAGGACTTAGCATGATTCAGAAGATTAATTCACGCCTTATCATAGCCCATTGCTTTACTTGACGCCATGACACTCTTCAATAGAACAATTTTTAATGCGCGACATGACGAAATCTAAGTTGCAGTAGGACTAACACGTTTAGTTCAAGTGCAGCGAGTCCAGTAAGCAGGAACAGCCCTTCTCAGCACTTCAGTACTCGCTGTCGCATTTCCTTCCTATCCGCTGGACACGCTCGAACTGACACTGACTCTCCTCACACCAGATGCAGCCAGGATCTTCAAAATACTGTCCATAGAACTTGTCCTGGATCACACCCTCCCAATTAAATCCCAATCCCAATCCCAATCCCGCTCCTTGCGCAACTGCACTCTGAATGGTCTGCTGCATCTCATGCACCGTCCTCCTCAACTTCGCAACTTCATCCATCAACGACCCCGTGCGCTCTTAACTCATGCACAACATGATGTCACTCTCTGCCTTTTCCCATACTGCGACTTCAAACTGTGAGTGCAGGTCTTTTTCTTGGGTTTGGAGATCTTGAAGGGCACAAGTTTGGGAGGAGAAAGTACGGGAATGCTCGACTTTGAGAATGTCGAGTTCTTTGTGGGTGGATAGAGCATCTAAAGAGGCATGGTTAGTGCCAGAGGAACTGTCACCTCTCCTGCATCTGCGGCCCTCTCTGAACTCAGCACTAGGCCTGAGGTCAGGTTTGGTGGGGGTGGAGCCTTCGCCAGAGAAGGTGTAAGATCAAGAGGAGGTTGTGGGGAAGGAGCATGCTGGGCCGGGTGTTTTGGGAGGCCTCCCGGGAACGTTCGCGTTTGACGGCTCGTTGACGAATGAGGTCAGTGGAAGCGTTTTGTTTAAAGTCAGGTGCTTCAATAGACTCGCTAAGTAAAGTAGTCAATGAAGATGCTGTAGAGGAGTGAAAGGAAACATACCGGCCCTTCTCCTTGTCGAGTTTGTCGCCCATGTTCTTTGAGAGTGCTGAGCACATTGGGTAACGCCCGCCCAATCTTGTATGTCAAGGGCAGCTCCTTCTTCGCGAGCTCCACAATATCGAGGGCATTGCGGATGCCGTGTTCATGTGAGACTTTTGGGAGAACGCGGTTCCGCAGGACAAAGTTCAAAAAGAAGCTGAGGAGGTGTGGTGCGTTAACGAGGTTCCTCTCCGACCTATTACTTGTGGGAGTGTGTAGGTTGGGTAGGGGTAGTAAAACTTTGGCTAGATGGTCTGTGAATGAGAACATTGTCAGAATTTGAGCCAAAACACACAGCGAGCATAACTCACATGAAGAAATCATTGGCATGCCCATGCCTTCATGCGCAGGAACATGTCACTATCAATATGCTCAACAACCAAAAACTCGTCTCGGTGCTCTGGATCACGGGCCAAAACCGCTCCTCGGATAAAGGACTTCAAAGGTACGAATATTGAATCTCCTCGAGGAACAGCTTTGACTCGATTGAGCCTTAAATCTTTGTCGATTCTGCGAGCGCCACCGACAGGAATGCCAGCAGTGTATGGTTGAACAAGTGCAAGTTGGAAGGTGCCGGCAACATCTGGAACATTACATTGAAACATTAGTATGATCTTAACAAAGACATTTTTTTCCGCAGTAAGCTTTATGAGTGCACAATCAAAGCGTGGAGACCCATGGAAAGAGGGATTGGACCAGAGGTGGTCTGTTGACTGTTTCCAGTTGATGGTACTCTCATAATTGAGCCTGAGGTAGCGGTATTCATGAATCTAAGTCATATGGCAGTTAGCAGCGTGAAACGATGAAAGATAATCAAAGAGTAGTATACCTGGAAATCAACCGGAATAGTAATCCATCTCGTCAAGTGGAATCCATACATAGGCAATGATATGTTGACAAAATTAGAAAACTTCCTGCGAAAGCCTTGAAACACTGTGTCCTGAGCACCGCGCCTGTTCTCGATGTCCTGAATGGTAACGGCACAACTTTGAGGGGAGCCGAGCTTGAAATGTCCATTATGATTGGTGTGATCGACATGGTCCTCATCACCGAGTGCATCGTCGTCACCTCCTAAGGCTTGCAGGCGGTGCTGTTCGTCGAGGGTATCAACACGTCCTCACAAAAGCAGGGCTGCACATTTGTGATGATCAACGTGAAGGATCTACAAGTATATACAAGCTGCTGTTAGCAACAAAATAACGTGAAAAATCAATGCACATACCTGCTTAGCAACGTCCTTTCCATTGGATTGATGAAGATAGGCCACTTTCAGTGGGCCATGGAGCTTCTCATTTGGGCATGTGCTATAGTTACGTGCCACACCTTTTGATTCAATGTCCCGTCGTGCGTGTTTCCAAAGGTGTGTCTTGGGAAAGTTCCAGTCTGTCTTGATGTCCTCAATGGAGGATTTCGTCGTGGCATATTCAACATAGTCCTAGTAGATAGTGTCAGTAGTACCAATGACAATTCAATGAAAAGAAAGACAAAATACCTTGAGTGCAGCATCATAGACGAGGAATTCAGCGTCTATCATTTCAAGTGTCCGTTCTGTATGGACATCGAGCCTGATCAAACTATCCAATTGCAGGTAACTGCGAATGACATGAAGAAGGCGGTAGCCTTCTGAACTGACTTGGCGCTTTAAAACACTGAGTGCCGCATAAAACACTTGCTTTGCGATAATCAGCCACGAAAATTCAGCATCCATGAATGTATATGTGCGTACCTTGACCAAGTCCCGCCTCTTGTTGCCATCACTAAAGGTGATATGGATGACGGTAGTGAAATGGGTGAGAGCATGCCATCGAGGGAACTCAGAGACCCTGGGAGCAAGGGCTTTAGTGGTGTCAATGACAGTAAAAAATGACTTACTGTGTTTCCAAATCGTCCTGTGCCTGACGTCCAAGATCAGCGAGAATCGTCTTCAACTCTCCAAGTAAATGTACCCCTCCTGTACCACCGTGCAGAGTGTGCAAGTCGTCCAGGCTCAATGCCTCGTGAGGATCGGAATTCTCGACAAGCCACAAAACATTCTGAACAAATGTTAGTTGATAGTAAAATTGAAATGAAAGAAAAGTCCACTTACTGCAACAGGGCGCAATCCCAGCCCTTTCAAAACTTCCTCACCTTGAGTTCGGTTCTGTTTGTAAATGTTGAGTGCGGCCTGCGCATCTTTCGCAGACCTAATTGGAAACGTCTTCGACAGGTCGTGAAGCTCGTCAAGAGGGACGAGACAGACTGGACATGGGCATTTGCATTGTAAACCACGTATAAGCGACATCATGCATCTATTTATCATGATTTAGAACAAAAGTGAGACTCTGTAGTATATATAACTTACTGTTCCTCGTAATCTCCAGAAAGAATCAGTATGACGGGAAACAACCAGCATAAGATCTTGTCGTAGCACGAATATGAATACCCGGTCTTCGAGAATTGGTCAAGGTTGACGAGAAGCTTGACGAATGACTCGTGCCATACAACATGCTTCATGGTAGTGTATCCGAGTTTCCCTTCTTCAGAAGCATCTTCGGGAACCTGTAGTTATAGTAATTATATCAGAAACAATTTCAGAGTATGTACAAAGCGAATGGGACTCATGATTGGTAACCACCCGACCACCCAACCACCCGACCGCCACCAATCCCCTCGCCATTTTGAATGTGGACAGGTAGATTTGCGCAACACGCCACAACTGGGTACCCTTTGACAGTGCCATGCGAAGAGAGCCTAGTCTTGTCAGCATACAGTATGAAACAGAAGGGGGCGGCATCAAGGTTTTGTGGGAGGCGAGACTGATAACATAAACATGGTTACTGTACATATACATGAGTAATATCAAACATAGTGACATACTTGGATGTCCCACCACCGGTCACCTGTCCACGGCTCATCAAAGAAGCGTACAAAGTCCGTACCATCATGTTTGTAGACACGCTGCGCGTCCCAAACAAAATGTGGTGCTAACAGTGGGTTATCCAACAAATTGAGAGCCCAGTCCCATAAGGGACGCACATGTACCTCGAAGACTCATTCCTCCTTCTTGTAGGGAACCTTGACTTCGTGTTTTGAAAACTAGTATATAAAAATCTGAATAGTCAGAAATGAATATCTTGAAGAAAAAGGGAAGGTACACACCGGTGTCAGCTCAGCCGCAGCATTGTCCAATGCCTTGCACAAATCAGACTCGTTTTTCAGCATGATTTTAGCTTGGCCCTGTGATATTTGGGCCATGAGGTTGAGCAGCCGGTCAATTTGGTTCTTGTTGAGAGCAGCATCGAGAGCGATTTCAGAGAACTCGAAATCTGCGCATGATTGGAATGGATGCCATGGTTCTTGCTCTGCAGGAAGCGCTTGCGTCTCAGGAGTGATGCCGAACTCCTCGAAGCATTGATAGAGTGTTTGACGACCACTGTAAGGGTGAAATTCGGTTTTGAATTCGTAAGGTTGTTCAATGGGCACAGGCAGGGGTTCGACATTGGTGGCCATACTGGCATCAGATAAGACTGTAGCATAAATGATTGTTAATCAATCGATGAATGAGAAGATGTAAGTACATACCTGGGCTGGGAACACCCTCATTTCCAGGATCAAACTCCATAACATTGTGACCATCTGATGAAGGACTACCTATAGGTGCAGCCGAAAGATCATTTTGGAAGTGTCAGAGCAGTGCGATCAAACACGAGCAGATTGACATACCTTGTCCTGAGGCTGGTGGTCCAGGGTCAACCTTGATTGAATGCGATGGGCCCGCAACTGCCGTCAAGGCTCATCGAGCTTGATGGCGAGCTAGTTCCATTATGATCAATATCAATAATGATTGATATTAATAGAATGAAATTGGAAATGACTCACCCATTCGTTTGTTTCGATCGTATTCTCGATTAAAGTTCTCTTGATCCTGCGCATCACGCATCTTGCACTTCGATTCATGCCGCTTGAAGCCCTGGGATTTGAACATTTCGCCGCAGTGGGGGCATTTGGACCCACTAGTCAGTGTTTTTTGGGTATAATTGTACTTACTTCTGCTTGAACGGTTTGGTGCCATTGATTTAACAGTATGGACAATGCAGTTTGTACAGGATGTGCAGAGAAGAGAAGAGAATGGCACGACCTTGTGGCAACAAAGAGGGATGTTCTGATAAGGTCACATGTTCGATCTTGTAAGGCGGCAGCATTTTAATACATATTAAATACATAACGCGCCTTGCCAGGCACTTCGATTCCTTAAATGGCACTTACAAGGTCCCTTATAATGCACGTGAGCAGCCTTCTAAGCCGGCGGTATTATAAAGCTTGTTTACCTTTTTCCGACATAGTAGTAGCAGAGGTGGTAATGCACATTTGTGTTGCACGAGGGTCTGCGAAGTCATGAAGTTTGTGAGGGCCACTATTGCGCCACTCTGACAACCACTGGAGGGTCTAAAAAAAGAAATGATAGATTTAAATAGTGTTTGAAAAAAAAAACATACCATGGCAATGAATACCAATAGTGGTAGTGGTAGTACATGGGCGGCAGCACCATCAGCATCGAGTAAGTAGGTCAAAAGATGAGATCACGTACCATCAGCATGGGGTAAGCAGATAAAAAGGCAAGAGATCATGCACAAAAAAAAAGGTAGGTTAGCATGACGAAGCAGCATAAAAATGTACAATACACGCACCTCTGCACTTAGAGAGTTCAGATACCCTCGATCCCAAAGACAAGTGCTGTTGAAGAAGATGAAGGGGCAGAGCAGCGGAAGAAAGGCGTTGACTATGTCACTGTGTCGAAGAATGAGGAACGAACGATGTTGGTTGAACCATTTGAAAGTCATGTGAGAACGTGGGAATAAATAAACATACACAAATGTTAGACTTGAATGTTTCGGATGTCGTCGTAAGCCACCGCTTTCACAGGGCTGGTGCGTGTGTGTTCCTACTAGTACCGTCAATGGTTGGCACAATTCCCAACAGACCTTTCGACCTGTCTGGTGTGACATCGAGCTTGGTCGTGACTGGCTCGCATTTGTGAATGTGAGGTTTGATGGGATTTGATTGCTTCGGCTGGATGCCTTTCCCTGGGGCCTGGAGGTACATGTATATTCATTAAAATCATTTTCATATGGCTGATTTGTGACAGGCCATACCGGTATGGGTTTCTGTGGACCTCATTCGCAAATATTCGAGGAGTGCTGCTGCGAGCAGCCTTGCATAGTTATTTACTTGTAATCTACAACACACTTTGATTTGCATCGTTTTCCCTGCTTATTTACTTTTCGGTGTTTGTTTGCACTTGTGAAAAAAAAAGACAAGTGAATAAGCAATATAAGCGGCAACATTTTGAAGATTTTCGTGACAAGTGGCGAAAAAGGACGTTGAGGAATTTGTGAATTTACTGATGTGTGACTACAATAAAAATCGACTTGTTCAGTACCAGTCAAAATACGGATAACTAGATGATGGACATACAGAATGTCACAGGGATAAAACCTGGTGGGTAGCAGCAGCCCAACTCGCAGGAATGAAGACACATCCTTTGGGTCCGTGAACATGATCGGCAATTGCAGAATGGCATGGCTCTGAGGATGTGATGTGCGCATGAAGGAGATCGTGACAGCACTTCACAACTCCACATGCAGAGCAACGCAGTTTGACACCAAGGTGAACAAGAAGGTGTCTTGTCATGCTTCCTTTTTTCAGTGTTCTGGAGCAGCCGCCCCATGTAGCATCAGTAAATTCACATCTATGTTTTGGACTCCGTCGTTCTGAGACTAAGTCAAAATATTCAAACTAATATTTTCGGACCACGAGCAAGCTATCTCAAACGGACTAAGGCAGACGCCAACAATGAAACTAACTAAGTGTTCTTTTTTGGGCAATAAACTTTCAAGTTTATTTGACTGAAACTTGCCTCTGTCCTGCAGGGAAACAAGGACAAGCATGGGCTAAGGACACCCAAAAGGAAGGAGCACAACGATGCATCCAGCGAATGCTTGACCCCAAGAAGAAAGGAGTGCAGCGACTCACCAGCTAAATCAATGCACGGCAGGCATCACATAGCGAGTGAATGGTTCCAGTGCAGGTGTGTCTTGAAGGTAAGGCGCCATCACAACTGCGTGTTGACGCAGGTACGAAATGAATGAATCCCCACTCCATCTCCCCATAGACTTCACATTTTCGAATGGGACACCTCATAAAAGATACTCAAGGGTCCTGCCAATTCTAATCCCATGTCCTTTCAATCCAGGGACACCAATAGACATAGAGGCATGGTCCAACCAACAGAGGAATTCAGACCTGGTCAAAGGCCGGCGACCATTCTTGTGCTTCCAGCTGAAGAGTGCATTGGAAGGAAGTGGAGAGTTGACCTGAAGATGGTTGGATAAGGCTGACAGCAGCATCAGCAAAACCCTCCTGGGCTAAATATCAGTGATTATCGACAATTATTGATGGATTACTCAAAAAGCGACTGATTTCAAGGATCACATAGATTATGTTACCCCAAGAAACTTTGACAGAAATGTTTCTAATTATTAGCTATTTGACTAATTTGTCGAGCATTTATGAGACCATCCATTCAAATTTCGGCAAACAGTGTTCACCAATTTCCCCGCCATCAGACAGCATTACACGAACAAATTAGTTTTTGATTAGAAAAGGGTATGTAATAGCTAGTAATGACTGGAATAGAGATATGTATCAATCAACACCACGACTTGGAGTCTCGACAATCTTTGAATCACATAGGTACACCAAAAGAGCAGATTCCCGTCACTAGTCTTCCTCCATACCCTCAAGGTCAAGCAGTTCAAAGGCGTTCAGCTCGATGTGATCCCCAGTAGCGCCACTCTGTTTCAACTTACTGCAAGCCAAGTGACGAGTCAGTAATGAGCATCGAGGATGAGGCAGCCTAAGAACACTCACTGTGCAGCCTCGTAAATATCTGCCATCATATAATGGAACTTTCCAGGTGCATCGTGCTTCAGCTGTTCCAGGGACTTGACATGGTAGCTGTAAACTTTGCTGAATTGGTTTCCCGAGAAGTTGAACTTCCCTGGTGAACCAAGCAACTTCCACAAAAGAGCGGAATAAACCTATGAAAAGTTGAGCAGCATATTCACAGAGTAAAGACAAGTACAATACTGCTGTTGCCACCAGTGTGAGCAAAGGTATCGGAATTTTGGGATGCTTCAACTTGTTCTTGGCGATTTCAACAAAGTGTGACGCGAATTTCACACCAATGGCCCTTAAGCTATGAAAGAGCTGGTTAGATATCAACAATATGAGGAGTTCACCCTGGTAGGGCCTGTTCCTGATGGGCGTGGCATTATTGCTGACCTGAAAAAGAGGTACAACTATCAGTGACAGCCAGAGAAACTGTAATAGACTCACATCAAACTTCATCATGTAAATGTAAACAAGCTTTTCCATCAATTTTTTTGCCTTTGCGAAGTCCTTGTGCCCAAGGCAGAAGTAGCCATCGACATTTGTGCAAGCATCATCTTTCAGCTTGCGGCGCATTATAGGGATGCATGCATCCACCTCAGATAAATTAAGGTCAATTAGAATATCCTGGGTAAGTGCTGCAACTGAATCAACTCACCAAGGCACTGAGCTGCAAAGCATACAGCTCATCTACTTGAAGATGTTCTTTGATTGCGTCCATACCGCGTTTCTCAGTGACGGTTAACAGAGTTTGTGTTGAGACCTGGTTCTTTTCGACTAATTCAGGGTACCCATGGACAAACATCACATGGCACTTGACTTCAGAGATTGCGGCTTGAATGACCTGGCGAGTTAGTAGATTCTGATTGAGAAGTTTGACTTTGCCTTTCTTGGTTCGAACAAGCAAGGCAATGCTCTTTGTTGCAGAGGTTCAGACAAATTTTGCCTTGACAGCACCTTCGTTGTCAGAGGAGATCGACAATTCACCACCAGTAGTGGTACTTTCAATGGACTCTGAAACAACGTCATTGACATCACCCCACGTTGGAGTATAATGCATTGAGTACAGTGATCAAAATAATGTATTTAAATTCAATGATTCTCACCTCAGTTGCTCGTTTCCGATCACATGTTCACTGGCATCTGACTCAGATTTGATGCGCTGACGCTCTGCACAAATTTTAATACTTCAGTAAGTGGCAATTTACATCATGCAAGAAACACATGTACTCAGCGTTGAAGGTTTATACCCCAGATTACGAGCCGATTTTGATACACTGGCACTGGGAGCTCTCTTTTTCGTGGCCAAGCCTCTTGCACCTTGCTCAGCTGGCGAGGCCTGTCGCTTGTATTTGTCCTTCTTCCAAACTATTTTCAGATTAGTAGCAACTCGGAGTTTTTGCTTGTGTGCTTCTCACTCACCTGCATTCTGCAAAGCCCTTGTTTTTTGCGCCGCGTGGCTCCAACTCTATAGAGGTCCTTTGAGACAGTGTCTGTGCTTGTCTTAATGGACACTTACTCTGAGGTACGGCCATTTTTACTTGATCAGATGGGACTTAAATAACTAAAACAACTATTAGGGAGCAGAAAATTTGGACTGTGAGGGAGTGTGATTGTCGGGGACTGGAGGGAGTGTGATTGATGGAGACTGGTAGGGAGTGTGATGAAGGTAAGAGTAAAATAAATTTTGAGTTTCGGAATGGAGGGTACTGACTTTTGTAATGCTGCCACACGCATCTCGGACACAGTCACAGTGTCCCTGACTTGACTTTAGGTGGGTTAGCACTCGCAAATGATTACCTCAGGCTGACACTCTTCTGTTTTCGCCCTCTTACTCACTCATTTTCTTCAGTATAAAACTACAGACGTGCCCAGCATGTGGCCATAACAATTTCACTGTCACAGGACTTAGCCAGCATCTCGCAAAGAGCCGCGACTCCCGGTGTCAAGCACTCTACAAAAATTCACGCTCGCGAACAAACCCAAATCCAGTCTCCAAAACCACCGAAACCAACCCAAATCCAATCTCCAAAAACACTGAAAATCTCACACCTGAGTCAGGACATCCCAAGGTTTGCCACTTTCTTTGGTTACTTTGAAGCTGAAGGTTCTGACCGCTCTCTCTCTCAGTTTAACTACTTTGGTTACTTTGAAGCTGAAGGTGATGCCTCTGAACACTCTCGCTCTCAAGGCACTGTGAGTTTTTGTGATTACATACTTTGTTTATTTTGAAGCTGAATTCAGTTCTGCGTTCTCAGGGAGAGGATAGCGACCCTGATCAGTCAGATAGCGACTCTGACAATGATGGTCTTCCAGTGAGTTTACTTTGGTTACTTTGGAGCTGAAGGTTAGGTACTGAATCCTCTCATTATCAGGGAGAGGACATTGATGATTCATTCTTTGAACCTGAATGGGAGGTCCCAGTGCCATCGCTACCTGAGGACGGCACCTTCGACAGACCCAACCTACCTGATGATGGCACCTTTGACACGCACAATACCCTTGTCATAGCTCAGAGACGCTTCACTCCCTAGACGAGGCCTTGGATCTTTTCCATGCAAACAAGGATATCTTTATACAGCTTGGTATTCGAAATAACTTCAACTTACCGAAGTTGCACGCTGCACGTCATTACCACCTCATGATCACGTTGTTCGGCACAACAGACAACTACAACACTGAATACACCGAACACCTCCATATTGATTTAGCAAAGGATGCTTACTGTGCTACCAACCACCAGGATGAGTTCCTTCAGATGACTCGCTGGCTCGAACGAAAGGAAAAAGTTCTATGGCACCAGAAATATGTTAGTTGGTGTCTTGCTGGTGGCCACCAGTTCGAGCTGTACCATTCACGTCCACCGGATATGACATTTTGTCGTGAACAAGTCATGACGAAACATCCCACTGCGAAGGCTGTCAGTATTCAAAAATTGGTCAAAGATTATGGTGTGACTCATTTTTGTGAGGCCCTTGCATGCTACATGGTGTGCAAAAGTCAAGGTGATCATACAGTGCCGCTCCGCGATCGAGAACTTGATCATTTGGTGGGTGACATTCATTTCCCTTTCCACCATCTGCCCGTTGTAGAGACTCATGCCTCTCATGGCATGATATGGCAGTTTCCACCAAGGAGTACATAGCATGAACTTGTAGCATCACTCTGTGCGCTACCCACAGCTATTCCTAAATGAGGCGCAGCTTTCCCGCACAACGCGCGCCATGCACGCACCATTCCCGCGCTTCACAATGTATACGTGCGCACGCATTCCCGCGCTTGAGCGCCCTATAGCGCCAGCCATCCAGAAGCATCCATCCACTGTCCACCAAGCTCCCTAGTGCGTATATTTCCATTTCCTTTATTAGCATATTGTTCCACCTTTATTTTTATCATGGATTCTCACTCATATATATCTTTACATACCTACTTGGTAGCGCTTAGGTGCGCTATATAAGCGCCAGCAGTACATAGTACTATAAACTTTCCATTTCTACCACTTACTTTACCTCCCAAATTACCTGTTACTACTTACTTACTACTTAGCAGAACATAGTAGAACTCTATTCCTTTACATCTCGCACTCTGACATCTCTTGCATCATATCATCACTTAAGTCTAGTCTCTCCATCATTTCTGCACGCGCGCGCGCGCTTTCCCGCGCCTCGTGCGCACCTGCGCTTTCTTGCGCTTCGCTTCAGCGCGTACCTCTAGATCTTCACTGCACTTGCTTCCCCTTTAGGGTCGAACACACTTGTCTCCTCAGGTAACGCAGACTAGGCAATGCACGACCTTGCAACATTTTTTAGATACAGTCAGGAGCATCATTTGTTCCTCTCAGTATTGTTGTTTCTACACTGTCTTTCACAAGATCAAATGGTGCTCAATCGATACTGATGGTTTAACCAAGGGACATGTTACCTTGGACAGTGTCCATGCAAAACCTCAACAAAAGTTGGGCTCTTGTCTCATTCATCAGCACTCTAACACTGTTTTCATAAGCCTTGGTGAAGACTCAGTTACAAATGATCTCAAAGGTGCATGATTTGGTGCCAGCCATCTGATTGTTACTCAAGGACTCGCTGCTCACTGACTTGTTAGGTTTCAGGGTGGGTCAAGTTTGAGTTATATTCTCCTTGCCCCCAAAGTCTTTACAATTGCTCTTTCCACCCACTGTCAACATTCCTCCTCACCTCGCATATATTGAATGGTTCACTCCCTTCCCATCTGCTCCGGACCGAAACAATGGACTTTATAAATTGTCAAGATTGATGCGAGGTAGTGACAGATTAGCTAGTATCGTGCCAGTGGGTGATATTGTGCGCAGTATCCACCTTATACTGAAGTTTGGAGACTCGGCTCCATGAGAATGGATGAGTGGGACTGTTCTTGAGGACTGTAACACATTGAAGGTACAACAATTCAGATGGTGAGTCTGAACAATGTTGGGTCTTGCAGAACCTAGCTGCTATTCGACCCTAAAGGGTTTCTGGACTAGGCTTAAGGCTCAGAGGAGAGGAAATATCATAGAAAACTACTGAGCACTCAGACTCATACTGGTAACTGGTGGAAAGATTGATTGCTTATGTAAGCTACAAAAGTGCCAACATAAGGTAAGGTAAAAACAGTCTCTACAAACCCAGCCAGAAACGAATCCCTACAATGTTTTGGGTCAATTCATACATTGATAGACATACTTTTTCGATATTCAGATAATCCTTACTAATTCTCTTCTGTTGTGAAACAATTTCATATTGCCGCTACATTGTTATCAGCATCAGTAAACTAATATGCGCTGTACAGAACTGTACAGAACTGTACAGCGCACAAGGGTGGCAGCTTGGTCCCTTTTGGACAGTGACTCACAGACACACCAGTTCTGTGTCACACTGCACAGAATCTCACAGACACTCCAGTGACTGCCTCGTGCACAGAACTTGTGCTTAAATTTGGGTGCCATCCTGCACAGAGGCTCACAGACACTCCAGTAACCACCTCGTGCACAAAACTCAGACATGAACACCACTAGATAGCTTGCCAGTTATGCAGTAGCACAATAGATGATATATTGATAACAGAATGATAAGTGAAATGACAGGATGCAGTAAACAAATGTAGGGAAGAGAAATACTCAGATGCTAGCACAGACACATGAATACGAAGCTTCAGTCAAGAATGATCTGCAGGTGGTCATGTCGAGTCTCCATAGCTCCATCGACCCTCAAACTTGCAGCCCTGTATGGATAAAATTAGTATCAAACAGTCTATACAAAAGAAACATTCTCACCATCCAGCTTCAGCCCACTCCCGCAGCTGCACCAACAACTTAGGGCCATGGTACAGATCCTGAAGGATGTTGTCGAGCATCTGGACCATTTTGGAGTAGATAAGGCCATATTCCCTCACAGTAAACTTCGGGTAATATTTTCCATTGCTGTTCTTCGTGAGACCATCGAGGATGCAGTTGTACTATAGAGAGAAAATTAAATCAATATACTACAATGTTGGGGATGGAAAAAACACTACCGCTGCGCTAACCAAAGCCAGACATGACACAGGCAATTGGTTGTGGAATATGTCTGGTCGCCTGCGTGTGATTCAGTAAGGTCCTGTGTAAAAGAAAACAATGACACCATCACGAAGTGCAGGATGAGCAAAATTCCTTGTTTTCCCCTAGAAAGATTTACATGAGAATAGACCTAGTCAGCGTGTGATCACTTACATATTCATCTAATCCAAAGCGTAAGAAGAGTGATCCTTCAAGTAAGGCTGCAGCAGCGTGTTCTACCCACTCTGCATGTTCTTGAAAGGGGATCGAAGGTGGGAGAATGAGCAAATATGATTGAGGTGCAAGACTTGCAGCGGATTTCTTCAAATCGGATCACCAAGTTGTGAGATTGTCATAAAACTGCAGTGCAGATCCTAAATCAGCAAGATCAGTGTGAATGTGAATATCACACTTACCAGTCGAGCCATGTTAGATTTTTGCTGTGGCCAGATCCCTTAATTACAACATAAAATGAATTAGTTTATGAAGGAAGAAGTGCTTACCGGCTTCAAACTGTTTACCATCTTGGTCCCATGCAACTAAGACTGAAATGAGAACCTTGCATACGGACGACGGTAAATCAGCAGCTAAAGCCGGAAATGGATTCTCCAGGGCATGTTGCGCATAACATTCTCCTTTAGCATCCTTGAGAAAGCTTTTCCATTGCGGACCATACCATGCTAGTTGAGTTGGCTTTGGTCCGTCACTCGGTTTCTTCGATCGTTTAGTCTTAGACCGCCAATCATCATCGGACTCAACTTGATGCAACAACTCGAGAGCTTCAGGATCAGGAAGATGTGGCTGGCTATTCTTCTTGTGGTGGCATTTCAATACATTGTTGGGCTGTGATATTGTGATCTGTAAAGAAACAGAGTGAGCCTCACTAAGAATGAATTTCATCGCTTCACCTGAACATCCTGTAGCTGTGGCTGCATAGGCGAGGTATCCGAAGGAATCTTATGCAAGTAATTGTCAGAACAATACAGCTGAGTGAACTCATCATACCTGTGAACTGCTGGACTGCTGTACGGACAACATGGAGGGATTAGCTGCATGTAAGACACTGGTCTGAGCAACCACATCATCTTCATCGCGTGAATATTGAAAGTCAAATTCCAGCGTAATAGGACGAGTGACTCGTGGTTGCGAAGGGGGCAAATCTTCCCCAGAAAATCCTGTAATGTATATTAATAAGATTGTTCGAAAGGCGAGGGTAAAAGGCACTGATCCTGGTGGGTTCCCTCGGACATGCAGGAGAGTTGCGAACACATTACTTGGATGTTCAGTGCGACGTCCACCAACCCCCCCCAGCCAAACTGCGGCTGACTCATCTCCTCCTCTTCATCCTCCTCCTCCCCATCTTCCTCCCCCTCCTCATCATCATCTTCTTCACCATCGTCGTCAGAGCTGACGCTTGCCTCAAATGATTGACATTCAACCTCATTGATGCCCCATAAGTCTGGGTCGATGTTCTGGTCCACAAAGGTAGTTGGTGGTGCAACCGAATTAGCTGCACTAGGGCCGGTTACACTTATGTGAGCTTGCTTCGCATTGCCTTTCCTCCCAATAGTATATCGGTTGTTTAGATCTGGGTTGGGAGGCACAGTAGGTGCTTGCATAGCGAACCTGAATCTTCCTCCAGGTTGACAGAATGAAGGATTGAGAGACTGTGAGGGTTCCGCAGTACTGATGTCTATGCATGAGGTGTTAGGAACATTCATAGCAGTCGACGAACTATATGGTGGGGGTGCGACCTAGATGTCAACAATCAAGTTAGATAAATAAATAAATAAATATAACTATGCATCAGACCTTTGGACGACGGCCTCAGCCCTTGATAGGAGGTGGTTCTGGAGCTTGAGGGTTAACAGGAACAGTGGAATCAAGGGATGTAAAGCCCTTGTGTCGATGTATCCAAGATGGAGTCTCCAACAATGCACCAATCTTCTCCAATTGAGTATTCCTACCTCCCATTCCCGCATTGGCATGGCCAGAATGTCTAGCAGGTTCGTCAGTGCTTGTGGCGTCGAGACGGAGGGACACGAGTGGCATGCCAGATGCCTCGACGGGTTCTGCTGCTCAGGGCTTCTTGGGCTGAGGCCTGAACACATCCAGACCTTTGCGCTTGGCCCACTTATTCTTGGGGCTGGCAACAACACGAGGAGGCATGATGCAGCTACAAAAAGTTCGAGCAGACTGAGCAATAGCTAACGAGCAATTCCAAACTCACCAAATATTTTATACGACGATGCCTCGAGGTTATCGGAAAGGAATGGCAGGTTCTCCCTGGCACGACGTAAGATGATTTGTCTTGAAGAATCTCCATGAGTAAGATGGAGAGTGAGGAAAAATGTCCCAATGTGTGCCTGATAAGCGAGTGCACCAGTGAGATTGACTCAGAGCTATCAAGCCCTGAGCAAGAATAGTAGGAACGTACATGTAGCAGTAGCCACCTCCCAACAGCTAAAACCCACTGTGCTCCCGCCGTGCCAGCCTCCGAACTAGTCTTTTATATCACATCATGCTCATGCCTTCTCAAGGTCAGGCTCGGAGAGTAATCGCTTCTTTCTGCCCGTTTCTCCGAAGGAATAACTCGGATTGATCCAAGGTGAACTTGAAGAGTAATGAAAGGATAGGCGAGTAATGGTGTATCAACTTGGTATGGTGGGACGGAGAGATGAAAGATGAGTGCAAAAAAATGTGTTAACCGGAACACGTGTGCGCATAAAGGAAGATCAGTATTGATATAGATGGAAATGCGAAGGAAACACTGGAAAAGAAAGTACAAGTGCAGCTACAACAACTATTGGTAATTTATGGTCAATCCTGATAAATTTAATCTAAGCCATCTGAGTCCATTGTCGCCTGAGTCACTTCACTGGCAGAGTCACCATCAGCTGTCTCATGCTTCTTGTGCTTGGCTAATTGTGGCACAGACTCAGGCTCCATACTGCCCCCTTCTGCTTGCCGCTTTTTCAAGCATTTAGTGATTTCTGCAGCGGATTTCTTGAGATTCTCGTTAGTGGATGTGCGCTCCTCGTCGTCCTCAAGGGTGGTGATATGATGTTCTAGCAGATCGATGATGCTATCAAAAGTGACCCGTGCCTCCATGTTATCCTTCAGGATTGCCCGCCACTCTTTTGCAAGGGGGATAAGTTTTGCAAAGTATGGGTGGAATTGTTTTTCGAGATGGGCCTCCTCTGATGACACTGCAAAGAAATAGACCTTCCTCAGTTTGCACACATCCAGGTTGAGGTTCGACCAGCTATCTGGCAACAAGTCAGGTATGGACTCCTGGCGCTCCTTGCCGTTAGGGCCACTGTACTTGATACAGATATAGGCGAAAATGTAAAAAAAAGGGACTCAAGGTCATCCCCAAAGCTTTGAGAGACCCAAGATGGTGGGAACACCAGAGTTTTGGAGGAGGATTTCCGTGCTTCTTGTTGTGTTGCCTTGGCCTGCAATTCTGCCATTTGAGCAAGAAGCGCGCATGACATAAAAGGGATTGTGCCCTAATAAACCAGTCAACCAAATTTTGTGCGTTCGAGAAAGATATATTTACCGTGCCACCAATAGAATATTTGACGTTTGAAGTAATGAAGACTGCAAACTCCCAATTGATTAACAGCCCCCTACTATTATTGGGCCCCTCCATGATCATGACACTGTAAAGACTACAATCATGATGCAAAATGCCACGGTCTACTGCCATGCATTGGACTAGAATACAAGAAAATGAATACAGAACTCATGTAGAATCAACTAAAGCCTCACCAATAACAATGTCCCTAATCACTCTCACGAACTCCTTCAGCGTTCAAAACGCATGAAGGGGGTGAGCACAGGGCTTCATGACGAGGCGAACATGCGTACGATGGGTCCCTCAGATACTCTGGTTTTCCATGTGACGATAATGCCGCATCTGGTCAATGACATCATCTGACCTTTCGACCTTCCAGTAGTCTACTAGCTCGGGAACACCAGGGATGCCGCTCATCACTTTTAACATGTTAATCTCATTCAAAACTTTCTCCTCACCACCCTGAACCCAGTGGTCTTTAATGATGTATTCTTCTTCGTTTAAACTGACCAGATAACAGACGGTCCCGCGACCAACAAGGCCCTTGGTGGTAAAGAGGATCTTCAGGATAGTGTAGATCTTGTTATTAACACGGATTTGGCCACAGGGTTCTGCAGGCGATTGAGGGGTGTGGGGAAAATGGGAAGGATGAGGGGTAGAGCTACAGGCGGTATCAGCCCCCTGCAGAGGCCGAGACGCAAGGCCCAACAAAGGAACGCTAGTGACTGCAAGGGGTTGAGGGGGGAGATATGAGGTAGGAGGAGGGACAGGAGGGGAAGGAGGGGAGACAAGAGGCTCTTCTATCGGATCTTCAAGAGACTCAAGACTGTCATTGGATATTAGCTCGAGGGTGTCATCCGCGGGGGGCATTGGCTCAAGGGCATCAGAAGAAGAGTGTATTGACCCGGCCTCATTGTCAAGGGGTAGCTCCTGGGGATCCTCAAGCAATGCAGCGAGAGACTTGCTATCAGGATCGGCAGGAAAGGTGATACTCCGAGTGGCTCGGGCAGGAAGGTTCTTGAATGGCTGGTAACCAGGCATGTCTGCACCTAGGGGTGGGGGGAGTGGGACATTTTTCCAGAAGGCAACCGTACTATCATATCCAATACATTCTGGGCTGCCAAAGACAACAGCAGCAATAATCTGGGCGAATGCATCTGGATTTTGATGAATTTTGATGCGAGGGGTCACAACGCCACCGGCATGGTTGTACAACAAGACCCTGAGTTCGTGATATTGGTGTGTAAATGATAGGATGAGTGCAAAGTGCCTCCAAGGCTGATTGCTGAGTAGTAGATATGCCTGGGTATCTGCAGCCTTCACAATCTGCTGTGCAGGCTTGTACTGACTATGTGTCAGCTCAGCACATATGTGAATATTGCCCCACTTGGGCTTGATATCATTGGATAGCACAAGATCAGGCTTGTGCTTGATATCACTACCGGACACTGCAACAGTGGAGTTGCTGGCACTCCATGTGCGAGTTGCAGACAGTGTGATCAGCTTGTCTTCTGATTCAGCCATCGCAGTACCAAGAGCATTAAGGAATGATGAAAATATCTCTTCATGGGTAAATTTCTCGACACCCGGCTGAGGAGGAAGAGTATCATTTGAATTGACGGATGACTGATGAGGTGTCATTGGAAGTGCCCAGTTCCAAAGTCCAGCTTGGCTATCATACAATGGAACGATATTGTCTGGGGAGTTTTGACTGAATATAGTGTTGATCCATGTGTCGCAATGAAGGATTTTGCTGAGTTTGATTCTAAGTGTGTGTGCTTGGGGAACATTGGCTGTGAAAGGCTTGAAGATCAGAGGGAGTAGGTGGCCTAACGAGCCATTTGCCAGAGATTGAGGTTCAGTTGTCACTAGGCGGTCAAGTTCAATGGTTGTCATTCTGTTCAAAGTAGGGACATTGTTGACCGGAATTGACATCAGGGATGCCAATTTTATTCTGTCATCAATTGTCCTATAAAAGTGCAGCATAATTGGCGCTCAGTGAGGGAACAAAGGGATAGGGCGATGACGGTGAGACTCAGGCATTGCTTAACGCCGCAGTCTAACAATAAATACATGACATCCATACAAAGTTGGCAAAAGCAGGCTGATTACAGTTCAAAATACATCGAAAGAGGGTAGAAAGTATTTTTGTCCCAGTACTTATTGAGCCAAAATTCCAATGCGTGCTCCATACCGTTATATTGAGTGAGACGAGAGTCTGCACTTGCACCAAATCGAGGGACAACATTAACAGGCGCTCTGAGCTGAGTGACTGGTATAACATCACCAATGCGAGTCCCATTTGATCGCTTCACCCTCTTGAGCAGATGTAGGTGCATAGCTGGCTCGCGCTCAGCGCTGTTGTTAAAGTGTTGCACGTATGTGAGGAAGCGATCCTTCCAAGCCCCCTGTGTATCCATCTTTCTAATTGGACGGAAAATAAGCCTGATTTGAGCGATGACATGGCCTAGGAACTCAAGAGTTAGAGAGCATTTGGCATAATGGAGGAACATCAATCACCGCGAAGACCATCAGCAGGCCATGAGTGCCCATCCTCGTTATTGACAATAACAGTGTCATACCAACCAAAGGTCCAGATGTCAGAAGGTGGTATGCAGTTTAGGGTCTGTGCAGGTCGCACATTGGTGGTATCATGAAATTCCATATCCTGAAGTCGAAGTTTGAACCATATCTGTAGTTTATCGAATGGAAGTGAAGCATTGGACCCAGCCCTCCTAGCCCCTCCAAGCGGATGAATATGACCATACCCATGAGTATCTTCACAACAAAAGAAGTCGGCGAAGGCTGATCATAAATCAGGAAGGCCAAATTTAAGGGCAGCATCGTCAACAGAGATGGCCCTAATTGACGGGCTGTAGGCAAGATGAAAGGCTGTATGTCCAACAATAAATGTGCATAATGGCAGGGGGATTGTCCCAACCTCCCTGTGCTGGAGGACCTTTGCCATTGCAAAGTAGTTAGTGATTGGATGTGCATATCCAGGGGACTTGACTGTGGACAAGAGATTTGTGGGGAGGTCATTGTCATTGTCAACATCAAAATCGATGACGTCATCATCAACGTGGTGTTGGTCCAGGTTGGTTTGCAGCCTCAAGTCTAATAGACTTGTTGCAAGATCAAAACGACGACATTTGTCCGCACGGTCAAGGTGATGGCAGATTTGTGAATTGTAGTTATTGTTGTTGCTTGAGCGTGCGGGATCCTTGATCTCAGTTATGTGTGCATGCTCCGTAGCGTCTGCACTCCACTGCATGGTGATGCCAGTGTTATGTATGCTGGGAGCTATATTCTGCATGAGCTCTATCTTTGGGATGTACCAGTTATCGATAGGCTTGTTTCTCTTCCCGCGACGAAATCCAGCAGCTGTAATGGCGTGTTTGTTGGCATGAAATTCGGCCAGCGCTGTGGAAATATGTTCGATGTCGCGATCATCGATCTGTGGCGACTGTACGAGATAACGGAAATACATCAAAGCTCGTACAGCAGTCATCACAGCACTAGGCACCGCATCCGCACTGACCACGATAATCGAGCACTGGATATCACGTTGGGCACGCCCTGTGACCTGCTTCAGCTTTGAGATGCCACCATGAAAATGGCGAAACCCCGTCACAGGCTGCAATGCTGAAAAGCGAAAATCGATTTCTGTTTCCCCGACCGTGCATATGATCCATTTGACGTCGTGATCATAAAACTCTCTGTGAAGATGGTGGAGGTTTTCGGGAGTGAGGAAGTGGGATGGTTCGGCAAAGAGCCAGTCCTGCCAGAAAGGTTTGTCGACACCATTTAAACGGAACTTCTGTGCTTCACGGAAGAAAGCTTCAATGTCATTGGAATCAACCTTGCTACGGGCAGTAGCGATCTGTGCGAGTGTAGTTGAAATAGTTCGAGGCTCGTGTTGGAAAGGGTCGCCAAATTGTTTGAACATGGCCATGGTAACTGGGGAAGTTTTACCACCAACGGTAGTGAGCATCATGGCCTCTGGAGTATCAACAATGTAACTTGCAAGAGGAGTGAAACAGTAGCGACTATGCCCAACGGGATCTGACAGCATAATTCCCTCATGGGCAGCCCACTTAAGCGGCTCTAGAACAAGATCCAGGCATTGATGGACTAGACGATCCTCCAGTATGCCACGCATGCGTTTCTTTTTATGAAGGAATTTTGGCACGGGGAGCAGGGCAGTGAGCATGAAAGAATTAAGTGATGTCTTGAGTCAGGTGGACATGGGTATATTGGTGAGGCTCATGAGGAGGGGGTGCGCAACTCTGTCACCCGTCATCATAGATATGTTTGTCTTGTCGGATGATAGGATGGTCCCAAGCAACATCGCACCTCGTGGTAGAGCCGACTGCATTGAAAATGATAAGTACTGAGAGCGCCTTGCACAAACGAAGATACGCACCTGCATTGTCCAAGTGTTGTCTCCTGTCATCCATTCGGAGTACACACAGCACAGCCGCTGTGCCGTGGTATACACCTTGCGGGGTGTAAAGTCTAACTGGTCGTGAAAGGATGGATGGTTAAGTAGACTGGAGATACAATCCAAAGGGTCACGCCAATATAATATGACAGGTGATTTGGTCAGATGCTTTGTCTCGATGACTTGAGACATCCAGCATGGACCGCTTGGCAACATTTCTGCTCTGCCTCGCAGTTCCTTGTCCGATGAGAACAACAGAGGAAGACCCTGGATCTTATCATGCACGTTGTTAGACTCTACCAATTGAATATATTGTGTACTTACTATCTCAAGTGACAAAAAGCTATCTATCTTCCCCATGCTTAATCCCGAGTGAAGTAGCCATGATGCAAGCTCCCAGTCTTTCTGGCCACTGAATGGGTAGTAGAGATTAGTTGCACGGTGCACGCTGTTCTCGTCTGAATTGAATATGTCAAGGAAAGTATGACCTGTTCCATACGTTTGAGAAGCTCCGGGGAACCCGTCGATGAAGTCGCCAGTTGGTGATATCCCTTCTTCATTCACACTGCCGGTAAAACCACCTTCATTTAAATTAGCACCACTCCCAGTATCCTCATCCCAGCCTCCAGATCCGTCATGGTCTTCATACGTATGTGCAAGGTGGTGAGAATCGTTGGGAGTACCGAGCTCCTCCTCGTCAACGTCCATAGACTCGGTTCATGCAGAGTCCAACCGTATTATATCATGTAGCCAAGTGTTACATCCTGAGTGGGGCTGATTCATATGATGGGCCACAGCGACCTCATCTTTGAATCTGCCTTTGCTGCACGAAGGACACTGAAACATATTGTTAAGTATAGAATGTATATGTGAGAAAAATATCTCGTGTGACGTCAAATCGAGCTCGGATTTCCCCAAACCTACTGTATAGAACAAATGAAGTCTGCAAATGAGCATTATCACCTATAATTATAATATCATATTAGTATGTCTGAGTCAACCCCACTTGTCCGCCTTAACATTCACAACAACATCCTCACCTCAGTCACAGCACCTTCTCGCTGTCCTCGGTGCTATGGTTCACATGCAACTTCTTACCTGTGTCTCCGAGCGGTAAAAATCGGCAACCACGACCGTGCTCTTGCAGAATTGTACGATGTTGCTGAGGCTATTGGCTCTATGGTAAGTGGCTTGCTATTTGTACCAGAAACTATCATCTATCATCTAATGTACCTGTAGACTATCGAAGATACAGACCTTGAAGCCAACTTACTCATGGAACTCACGAGAGCCAGACGAGAGGTATTCAGAGCCAAAAAATTGCTGGCTGACTGTGTGGTCCGTGAGCATGAAGTCATGGCGACTTTATCGAAGTTTAAATCCAGCATATCCGAGCACAAACTTGACAAGGCAGACATCGGATTAGGATGCATGTGGATCACCTTTAAAAAACACAGTCTTTCTCACCATGCGTCTCTGCATAGTAAGTCTTCCAATACATTAATATTCGTGTATATAGTCAACAAGCCACAGGTTCTCACATCAAGTCGCAGGCCGCCAGTCAAAACATTACTATCAAGTTGGATTGATGTGGGATGGTGTAGTATTTCATGATCACGTGCAATGCTTTTTGTATTACCTTACCGTGCATTATGTACTATCACACTTGCATAAATTTAATTGCGTGTTTTTAATAGAACGACTCATTACAGTGGCAGTATACTAGTAGTCTAATTTAAGTTTATTTAGTATGCTGGCATTTCAACTCAAAGTTAGTCACTCAGCGTTCAACTGGGACAGTGCTCACACTGGCAACCTTGATAGCTGTGCAGCCTGTACGTCCTGTCAGAGCTGTGTGAAATATCTATCTGTGCTTATATAACTTTTGTGAGTGCTGTCTGCTCTGTGAGAGTCTGTGGGCAACTGTGTGAAACTGTCGAAATAGGCATTATCTGGGGAGAAATTTGTGGTTTACTGATGAACTTTGTTTCTAAACACAAGTAATTAGGAAAAATTATACGAACTTTCAAGATTACACGAAATTTAGCCCAGGAGGGTTTTGCTGATGTAACCTGACGAGTCGGTGGAGGAGGGCAGCTTGGCACAATATTGCAGGAATGGTCACGGTAGCCTGAGGTCCCTCGGACTATCCCCGATCACTGCAGGGAGGTGGAACGGGAGCAGACTCGACAGTATGAAATATTGTGGTCGACATGCACAGCCCGAGAGGCTGCCATACAGCACAACCGCACATGCATGCATGAACCTAATCCAGCGGCATCTGGGTCCAAGCCCGGTCTTTCCCCACTCATCTGCAGAGTAATCAAAATAATCGTAAAGTCTAAATAGATGCCGTTTCGTGATTGCGTAAAGTTCTGTTTTGCTATCCAGAGCGCAGGCTTCTGTAGTCCATATCCGCCTAGTTTGTAAGTGGTTTTCTCATTATCTTGCTATGGCCTCGGCAGTTGAACCCCTCCTATGATTAGTATGGGATGAATGATGGTGCCAAACTGCCAATCAACGCGTGCGCTTGCAACTAATAGACGTTTGTCCCATTCTGACCTGCCTCCTTTGAATTTTATCCCTTCGCATATGCCCCGTGGATACAAGTACACGTAACGCAAGCAAGATAACAATTGATAGCTGGGCAAGATAGCAAGCGGCAGGTGACGCTGAGGTAGCAGATATCGATCGGGCAAGGTGGAAACGTTGCACTGGTTTTTTGTTTAGTTCTAATCTTGAATCACTGAGGCTGTGTCAGGAGAGGATCAGTCATCCGCTTTCGGACCACCCGTTGTCCTCAGCTCCGCTTCTGTTCAGAACTTCCGTTGATCTTCAGTATGACCTTCAAAAGAAGCACTCTAGATTCCCCCACCCAGATGGTGAGGAGGTCCTATCAGTCATTGCATGAACGTTGAGGTCTTCACCACTGATGAAGGAGCCCACTCGATTTCATGAATACAAAATAAGTTAGGGTTCGGCCTTACCTTGCTCCGTCGCACACGGTTTTATTTTCTGCACCTTCAAATTATTGCAAATGTACGTATATATACGTATACTAGTACAACACAGCAGCCAAGGGTTTTTTTTTTGCATCAGATTTAGTCCATTGACCCTATGTTAACGTTGGACGTGTTGCGTCATGTGCATCTTTTTCTTTGCGGTATGGGGCAGGTGGTAACACTGCGTGTTGTCCAAAAATTCCGACGGCTGAGAGTTGGCGGAGATTCTGGGGGGTCCCCAAGGTTTCAGCCACGTCACCGCCACCAAATATCAGCCAGCCGATACTAAGTCGTAAACTTGATACTCTAAGTCGACGCTCCGCGCAACGATGGCAGATACTATAGCTATCGGCCGGGTTTCCTTGCCTTGATTTCCTCTTCGTATATACAGTGTCGACTTAACCCTTCAACATGCCTCAACGCATACCCAGCTGCAGACCTACCACATTAGTACATATAACGTTAACCCATAGCTAGGGTTTATTCGACGACAAAGGCAACTCTAGCGTCGTTGGTTCTGCTAGCGCTGCTTTGTCTCCAACCAACACAACCGACACCACATCACTCAAATTGTACGAGCCTTGCCTGCCTGCCATTTGAACATCTATCGTGGCCGTCGACTCGAGGATAATTACAAGTATGAAGACTCATGTATGGCTTGTAATATACATTGTCTTCCAAAGACTGTCCTTTGATCACCTGTTGGATATGATTCATAGCGCCGCTTGTGTCCTTGCACTGTGTGTACACCAGCGGGTCTCTACCAGACCAGTCGAATAATCAGACTCCATGTCACGAGAAATGGATATGCTCGTCGTCAGCCAGGTCCAATCGCGAACAAGCTCATGTTCGAAGATGACTTAGATATCGATCAGGAATTTGAAACCTCACAACCTGCTGCCAAGTATGATTGTCCACCCTCACAGGCCTCACCTACTCTGGGCGACAATGAGTATTTTGATCGCGAGGCAGACGCTGATATCATCATGGGCATGGATGAGGATCCTGTTGACAGAGACAGCCTCTGGGTAAGTGGTCAGTGCCTCGATCTTTCGCTTCTTCGAAGAGACATCCTGTGAATCGGAGCGGAGACAAGGGTCTATAGAATAGTCTGGCTCGTACTGATGTCGATAATTGAGTGACTGGTTGGCAACATGAGGGAATTGCTCAGGCTCAAAATCAGAGTGAGGGGTAACGGGTGAAGTGAAGCTTGAGGCCTGAGGCATCAGCTTCGTCCGAAGTACCGGTTGTCATATCGGACGGAAAGACATATTGGGGCTCCGGAACGTTCAAAAGGTCACTGAGACGCACTAATTATTGTAACAGTCAGTCTGTAATACACTGTTACAAATTCAAGCAACTTACTCATACAATAATGAACTCAACAAGGACGTTTGCACTTTGATCCGCTCTGTGAGTCGAATGTATGCGCTTGCAGACTGCAGTGCGCCGGTATAAGTATAGTCAGACTTAGTAGTATTACTTGCTTAATCGAGACCCCACATACGCGGAGGCTTTTCTCTTGACGTCGTCCAAGTCATTACCCATCATTCACAGTTGGTGAGTGTGTTGATCCTCAACAGCCATGCTGATCAAGTCATTGCCCATTGTTCGCAGGATGATGTGAGTGTATCGACCCTCGTTCGAGCAACAGCCACATTGCCCACTGATCTTCAACAGCCATGCTGATCCAAGTCGCCCACTGTTCGCAGAGAGTGAGTGTATTGATCCTCCTTCGAACAACAGCCATGCTGATACAAGTCATTGCTCACCGTTCGCAGTTTGTTTGTGAGTGTGTCGATCCTCAACACCCACGCTGATCAAGTCGTTGCCCACTCTTCGCAGAGAGTGAGTGTATTGACCCTCGTTCGAGCAACAGCCATGCTGATCAAGTCGTTGCCCACTCTTCGCAGAGAGTGAGTGTATCTGTCCTCCAAGCTCGAACCATGCTGAGTCAAGTCATTGCCCACCGTTCGCAGGAAGTCAGTGTGTCGACCCTCATTCGAGCAACAGCCATGCTGACTCTCCAAGTCGTTGCCCTCTGTTCTCAGGATGATGTGAGTGTATCTGTCCTCCTTCGAGCTTGAACCATGCTAAGTCAAGTCGTTGCCCACTGTTCACAGGAAGTCAGTGTGTCGACCCTCATTCGAGCAACAGCCATGCTGACTCTCCAAGTCGTTGCCCACCATTCTCAGGAAGTGAGTGTATGTCCTCCTATGAGCTTGAACCATGCTGAGTCAAGTCATTGCCCACTGTTTGCAGGAAGTGAGTGTGTCATTACTCACAGGTCACAGGCTCACATGGGTGTGGGTAAGGGTGCGGGTGCGAGTGAGGTCTCCGACACCTTAGGGTTTACCTGTATAGATCCTTAATTATACTTGTATCTAGCACGGAGGAGCAGTCTGCTACCGCAATTGTATGATATATTGGGTGGCCACCAGCTGAATTTGACCGCGGCCGTACGCGTGCAGCAGGAGTGCTATATATATATAATTACAGCGCTCCTATATATTAATATTATATATATGTGTATATATAATATATAAAGCTCGTGAGGTCGCCCTATCGAGGATAGGCCATGGTTTCAGCCGGTGTCGACGAGAGCGCGAAACCTTGACTGCTACGTAGAGGAAATGCGACAAAACCGTCATGTTGACGCCGGTGTCCAACGAAGGCGCTGACGTGGCTGAAACCTAACCTAGGGTCAGGTTCTACCCTCGTTTCATACAGCCGAAATTTTTGATAACACGCAGTGATATAACCGGTAACCGGTTACAACAACGTGCCAACTACTTTGGTTGTCGAAACTAAGTTATACAGCAATACCCGGGTCTAGACGAGACTGCCCCTTTTCTCATCTTATTCACACCTTGGCCGAACTCACAGTTGCGTTATGGTGCGTTTGGTATATCTGGACTTGTAGCAGGGCCCAAGTCTAACCACCATAATCTTCTGCGATGTTGCTTGGAAACTATCAGTCTTTGATCTTCCAGTGCCGTATAGTGAATTTAACATCTACAACAGCGCCATTTAAGATGTCATTGACAGTAGGGTAAATGAGGATGCCTTCCTAGTAGACAGGAAGGCGTTTGGTCTGTTGCATTCTCAGCAGCTTGTCCACGAGGCGAGTTAGCTATGATGTCGTCCTAATATCAGTCAGGTATTACACCTTTAGGTAAAGAGGGGCTTGATTTTACAGAGTTATCAATTGCAAGGTGTTGATGACGACCTGCAGTAAGTGAGAGTAATGAAGAGACAACAATGTTTGGAGGGCGTGACAGGAGGACAAAATGAGCTAGAGCAGTCAAAGGAAGCGAAGCTCGCATAAGCAGATAACCAGTCTACAGTGACAGATGCTTAACGGATGTGATGTTAACATGAAGACACCCAAGCTTGAGTCCAAGTATGGACGCTATGACTTCTCTCATGAACCTCTTAAACCGTGGTACCTATTGGTTATGCGGATGTCGAATGCCTTGGCAACAATACCAGCAGGGCTACTCATGGAACGAGACCGAAAATAGCTGGTGACGGGCAGATATGCCGCGGGTGTTGGATCGAGAACAACCTGGCTCACAATCAGGAACGATAAGGAGAGGATGTATTTTCCGACCTAGCGGGTCGCTAGGAAGTGTTGTATCACATGAGTCTATCCAGGAAAACAGAGCTGGGACAACGCCATAGGGAGTGCGCAGTGCGCTCACCGAGACGCTCGAAATTATTGTAAAAGTTGAAGGCAAGTAGAAGTCCGAGCCGTCACGTGACGTCTATAACGCGGCTCAAATTACGGGTTTTCTTGAATTTTGTTCAAGACAACAATGAACGTCCTGCGACGACCGTCGGGCTTGTCCAAGTTTCGGTTTTACTCGACACAGACCACGAGGCCGTTTGTCCCACCCGCCTCTCTGAACCACTTCGACTTCCGCCAACGCCAACGCGAAAAACCGCGTCCTACGAGCCCAGCCTTCTATACCGCTCGTCCCGAATTCTACGATCAACTCTCGTCGCTAGAGTCAGCTCTGCAACATGCCAAGACTGCGCTAACGTCATGCCACCTTCTTCCCCTTCCCCAATTTGCCCGGGAGGCCCTCCCACCGCGTGTCAATGCTTGGGTAGACAAGCGCGAGCTCGGTCTGAAGCTCAGAAGCACCCTCACGACGAGCCGCTACAGACGAGTAGTTCTCGTGCTCAACGAGCTAGAGACCTATAGGGCCATTGCGGAAAAGGCTGGGATTGCAGAGTTGCAGGAAGGTATCAGAGGTATCACAGAACTGTTCGAGCGTGCAGACGCTGCGACGATGCTGGCAAGGGGAAAGGCCAAACCCGTCAAGTTCGATGAGTATGGGCGAAGCTATACCCTTGGGAAACGGAAGACCAGCTCTGCGCGGGTGTGGATCGTGCCCGTCCAGCAACCTCCCGCAGACAAATCCACCGCCTCCCAGTCCATACCAGCAGCAACGGAAACAGACACCGCGCTTACGGCTCTTCTTGACCCCATTTCTTCGTCGAAGAGCAACGAGCCTGTATCCGTCTCTCAGATTCTCGTGAACAATACTCCTCTCTCAACTTATTTCCCTATTCCCGCTGACCGTGCTCGCGTGATCCATCCAATCAAACTCGCAGGTTTATTGGGAGCATATAATATCTTCGCCATCGTACGTGGCGGAGGTACGTCTGGACAAAGCGGTGCGGTTGCGCATGGTATCGCAAAGGGTCTGGCAGCACACGAACCAGCCATCGCAACGATTTTGAGGAAGGGTAAGTGTTGTGCATCATTTCCAGTCCAGCCGTCCTCCACTTAACAACTTTGACTAACATCTCTGTTCATAGCGAAACTTTTGCGTCGTGATCCGCGTATGGTTGAGCGGAAAAAGCCTGGTCTTGCGAAGGCACGCAAGCGGGTATGTGTATTTTTCGTTGTGTTCTCTCTGTCATTTGCTCACCTTGTCTACAGTATGCCTGGGTCAAGCGGTAGCTATTCTCAGTATATTGCGCAGTACCTACTTCTCTTCCGTTGCTTTATTGTGTCACCAATGCTCCATCAACTTGACAATTCTGCATGAAGTACATAAGTGAATATTGTTTTCACCTCCATCGCTTGATATAACGGAAGGTCATTGCTTGGGACTCTAACCGGAATGATTCTTCGTGGGGTTGCGGATATCGAGAGATTCAGTGACACTCTCGAGTCAGGTTGTCAGCTACAACACACCTCGAATAGTTAATCGACCTCTGGACATACTTAGTAGTCTATCGATTGAATCTCAATCGCCTGGTCCGTTATAAAGCGGTTCCGCCTTGCTGTGTAGTGGTTCATGTGGAACGATATCTGTGCTCACTTGGCTGTCCTCCTGCAAAGAGTTGCACAGACGGGCGGCCCATTCGTCCCGTATTTCACTACCATTCAGCGAAGGAATCATGCCTTGCAATCTCCGCATCGTTTCACAATTTGACCATTTCACAATTTTCATTCACCAGCGTAGACGCCAAAGATAAAATGATATCATCATTACATTACCTAGCACGAGTGCTCCATAAAAAAGCATAAAATATGCTACAATACATCGCCGCGTGACTGAAGATTCGGTCCAATAAAAGAGACGCCAAGCAGCGAAGATTACCAGAAGTCTACGTTTGAGCAGGGATGGATAGAATGGGAGAAACAGTCATTGGAAGAGGACGTTCACTACCTCGCTCTGTGCAAAGCCTGAATTACAATGTGGGCACCGCCGCTGACGCGTGGAGATCCTCGCGTCGATGCATTGCTTGCAGAATGCTGGAAATAAAGAAATTAGTTTACTCATGTGTTATTGATTTCTAGCAGTGATACGTACTGTGTGAGCACTTGGTGAGAGCAACTCCACGCATATGTTCTTTGCATGTCGAACATTTAATGAGTCTCTGTGAACCCATTCAACAATCACTTCCAAACACCGAGGAGGGTACGACGTACCCAGACAGACGCAGCCTCTTCCATAAGTTCTGCTTCCTTTTCGCTTGCTGAAGCAGATTTCAACTTCTTCGCCTCAACACGGAGTTTATCAACCTCGGCTTTCATACGAGTAAGGTCGTCGTCCCTCTTGAATAGACAGCCCTTGAGGTGGTGGATGTGAGCATATTTTTCGTCAGCGATCTTTCGAACCTAGGTAGAGAATTTATAAATATGGACCAGACAAGGATGTGAAATCGTACATTCATCATCATCTCTTCGGTACTTTCGGCCTGTCTCTTGTACATCAGAATATCGGATTCGAGAGCAGTGAATCTTGTTTCTGCTTCATCCATCACTCGATGCAGACGCTGGTTGGCTGCTTCGAGATGACCCTGAGTCAAAATGACGATGGTAAGAGACGGAGGGGTAGAATGCAAGGGAGGAGAACGCACTATTTGTTGTTGCAAGTTTTTCTCGCCGTCAGCCAGTCGTTCGACAACCTTGGCTTGCTTCTCGAGGTTCCGAATGGCGGTTTTCCGCTCAATCTCGACGGACTCTCTGTCGCGCATGGCCGCAAAGTACTTGTTATCCGCCTTCGCTTTCTGGATACCAAGTATACACTCAACCTGCTGGACGGACGAAAAACGGCGACGTACCTCGTGTGCGCTCTTGGCGACCTTTTCCTCCGCCGCTATTAAGCTCACTACCTTACTCTTCAATTGCCCATCCAAAGCCTCCCATGCTCCCGAAAGCCTTTCCACCTCTGCGTAAATCGCATCTTCCGCTTGCTGATGTTGCTCTGCAAGAAGCCGCATTTTCTGGAGCTCATCTTCCTTCGCTTGTAATTGCCTAGCGAGGTCTGAAGAAGGGGATTTTCCGAGGAGAGATTGATACCGTGATAATTCTGTTGTGACCGCCACGAGCTCTTCCCGGGTAGCTGCTTCTGAGGCAACATGACGTGCAATATCGGGTTGCTCTTCTCGTATAGTGGACATAGATTTCTGAAGTGCGGCAAGCTTTGCTTCGGTTTCACTGTGTGATGTCAATGTTACCCGTCTCCGCACTTTAGAATATCATGCTCACATCAATTTCTTCCGAAGACCGTCCACGTATTGAAGATCATCAACTTTTCCCTCCCAGAAATGCTTCATGAGATCTTCATTACCGGTATGCGCAGCTAATTTGGCCTTATGTCTCCTAACCTCCGACTCAAGTTGCGTTATCCTTTCCTATTTCCAATGTATCAACAACTTGGTATGAATCTGTGTGTAACTGGCGCACCGCTCGTGATTCGGCGAGGGCCTTGAGCTCCCGAGATGACTGATATTTTATATTTTCACGACTTCTAAGTTCATTTAATTCGGCGTGCAGCAGCTCACGTTGGTCGCGAAGGCGAGAGAGATCTGCATCCCGCTTAGCAAGTACGGCTTTGAGTTCTTG